CCAACCACTCCACTTCCATTCAACGCCCTTTGCCACGTCACCCCACCCCGTCCCTCCCACTCCCAACCCCGCAGCCTCCTCCCACCTACAGGTCTTCTCCAGCTTAGGTCGAGGGCCTTGAATGACCTTTTGAGAGTTTTCAGGGACATTGAAGTCGTCTAACTTTAAGTCAAGGGTTCTTAACTGACATCGGGGTCTCTTAACTGATGCCGGGGCTCTTAACTGACGTCGGGATCTATTAACTAACGTCGGGGGACTCTTAACTGATGTCAAGGGCTCTTTACTGACGTCAGGGCTCTTAATTGACGTCGGGGGCTCTTTACTAATGCCAGGGATCTTGAGCTAAATAAGGGTTCTTACTTAAGGTCAGGATCCTTCACTGAAGTCGGGTCCCTTAACTAATTTCGGAGTCCTATTCTGGTGATGGGAAATGACGTCAGGATCTTTTAACTGATATTGGAAGTCCATAACCTAACCTATGTTATACCTTAACCAAACCCGAGATTTTCATATGAAATGCAAAGCCCAATTTCTGATGTCATAAAACATTAACCAAGCAATTTGTTTTCTACTTTATTTTTTTTTTAATGTTGATGGTCGAGGAGGAGTATACTTCATAAGTGAGTCTTCCTGACGAGTGACTTAGGATAGGTTTGGCTTTGTAACACAGTCGATAAGAAAGACAAAGATACGTGATCTGATTGTGTAATAAGAGGTATGGTGACTGTCCAACACGTAATGAGGTGTATGTTGTGTATAGGTGGAAAGATGCGAGATGTTAGGGAGTCCCCACTGACATAAGAGAGGGGTGAAGTAGGGTAATGATGTTGAAGTTCGACGAAAAGGAACGCAAACGGAGTAAGGATGATGCCATGATGATGATTTAGGTAAAATCAACAGAGGATTAAAATGATTTGTCAACACTTACATTTGGTTTAACTTGATGCTGTTTTGGGGGTTTAGTGGCACTGGTTTGATGGTACTCTGGTACTGTTGGCAATGGTTTAAGGATCTTCTGGTACAAGTGGCATTAATGGCACTCTTTTCAAGGTCTATATTTGCTGTTGGCGTTGCTCTCAAGATCTCCTGTTGGTAGTGGTACTGTTTCGGGGTCTGCTATTACTAGGGTACTGTTTTGGGGGGACGTGCCTCAGCTGACAGTGTTATCAGGGACTATTACCACTCGTGACTACTATTTTCAGATATTACTTACCACTAGTTACACTGTTTTTAGGTATTGTAGGAAAAACCCGTTTCTCTCAACACCGGCAGGGAGTGGGGCAGGGAGTGGGGTCTTTAGTGTGGTGGTGACACTTGGGTTGCCAGTCGGTGACGGGCGATGTGATGTGCTTGCCCACGGAGGTTGGTGGGCCACTGACTGCACTTGATCGAAACCTTGTTGAGAGTGACCCGGGCCAAGATGTAACCCGTTTAGGAGGTCTCAGTCTCTTCCCTCCCTCCACAATTGCCTTTTTTTGTCTTAGTTTTCTTTTTTTTTTTACTCCATCCACATCTTTCTTTTCCTCCTCCCCCCTCTCTTTTAACTCACCCCTATCTGCTCTCTATTTACTTTTTAAACTTCCTCTTTCCTTCTATCCTGTCCCTTTCACTTATTGCCTCACCCCGTTTTTTTCTTTTTAAGTATTTGTAATTTGTGGATCAAGGTGGAGAAAGACTCGATTTTGTGTGTGTGTGACAGGACCCAATATCCCTCATGCGGGTAACTAATGCTAATAACATTAAACAGTCCTTCTGCGGCTAGAATAGTAAATTGGTTGAAGTTATGATACACGAATAGGAAAATTATTGTCCTGTTGGCTAAAGTCATCTTCGGTTACGTTAGGTTTGGAGATTTGTTTAGCTTCGCTTACGTTAGGTTATGTTATGTTAACCTTAGCTTAAGTTAGTAATTTTAGCTAAATTAAGTTACGTTGGTTAGATCAGGTTATGTTAGTTAGGTTTTCAGGCAGATTGATGGGATTGATATTCAAATAGACTGGTATTCGGGTAGACTGGTGTTCAGGCAGACTGGGTGTTCAGGCAGACTAGTGTTCAGGCAGACTGGTGTTCAGAATCACAAGAGAATAAAACTCGGGAGTCAACATTCCAGTTGGCAGATACTCATACCCTCGCACACACGCCCGCCGCCCCCCACCCCCCCTCCCGTACACACGCTCCCCTGCATACACGCCCCTTCGCACACGGCCCCTGTACACACGCCCCCCCCCTTGCACATCCCCCCTGCACACACGCTCCCACACACGCTCCTCTGTACACGCCCCTGCAGACACGCTCCCCACACACACGCTCCTCTGTACACGCCCCTGCAGACCCCCAGCACACACCTCCTCTGTACTCCCTCCACACACTCCCCCTCCTTGCCCCCCCCTTGCACACACCCCCCTGCACACACGCTCCTCTGTACACACGCCCCCCGCACACGCTCCTCACACGCTCCTCCACGCCTCACACACACACCCCCTCCTGCACACACCCCCTCCTGCACACACGCCCACCCTCTGCTGCACGCCCCCCCCTCCTGCACACACGCCCCCTCCTGCACACACGCCACCCTCCTGCACACGCCCCTCCTGCACGCCCCCCTCCTGCACACGCCGCACCACGCCCCCTCCTGCACACACCCACCCTCCTGCACACACGCCCCCTCCTGCACACGCCCACCCTCCTGCACACGCCCACCCTCCTGCACACACGCCCACCTCCTGCACACACGCCCACCCTCCTGCACACACGCTCCTTGAAATACACCCCCAACACCTGACATGCTTCCTCCCGGCTGTCTATCGTACAGTGTGGAGAAATTATCCTTTACTTAACTATTACCTACATCCTATCTAACTAGTCTCGTCCCGGTGTAGTTACCACGCAGTTTTTCTCCCTCTCCCTTCTCAAGGGTTCCCCAACTCAGTCACTTGTCATTTCCTCTCTAAAGAAGATCATTACTAAAATGCAAACCAATATATGGATGCCAGCCAATTACTGACTCCATACTCAGAATTTACTCTCTCATCTCTTATGTTCTTCGGTTCAGTTTTTTTTTTTCGGGGGGAGGGAGCTTCCAGTAATCCTCACACTCCCATTGAATTGTTCTTCCATGATTCCATTCTATTTTTATGTCACATTTCCCCATTTTTTCATTATTTTGTTTAACGTTAATATTACAGACAATATTGAGTACCTTTTCACATCACTATCACCGACAGCTGTCTACATGGACGTGAAACTGTCAAGAAACTGTATAGTAAATAAATATGTTAAAGCCACACGAGAAGTAAGAGTAATCATTTAGCTGTTCTTAGCTCTCTAGGTTTGAATCGATGTCCATGAATAAACTGAAACACTTTGAACGTCAACGAGAAAAAAAAAGAAAACTGGCAAAGGAGGTGGGGAAACTCATGTAAAAGTTGAACAGATTAGACACAGTGTAGTGGATTTCTCCCCTACAAACGCTGTTTGTCGCTGAGTAGCTGACCCCGCGAATTCCCCAGTGTATGCCTCGTGGTCTAGGTCAACCAGCGCCGCCCACGGAGTGGGGGTCAACTATCTACCCACGCCTACCTCCGCTATAAAAGACCTGACCTCGTGGTGCCCTCCCGCTTCTTCTAGCTACAGCCGCATCAAGCTACACCACCTCCTCCGCCGCTGCCTGGCGGTCCTCGCTCCCGCCGGCGAGCATGGCGACCCACAAGCTGTCCTCCTCTGAGCACCCTCACCAACCAGCTCTCTCTACATCACGCTTGTAACCACGCTGCCACTTCCCAGCACCAAGCTGCATTGTACATCCAATACAACATGTATACAGAGAGCACATTGTGAGTTTCCTTTCTCCATCCCATCCTGAGTGTGAACCCAAACCACCTTGTTAATGAGAGATTTTTTTTATGTAATGATTAACGTTTTTACATTTATTCAAAGTAATTAGTAGTGAATGTATTTACCGAGGTAGCTGTTGATAGTGGAGATATGGTGATGCTAGTTGTTAATAGCTAGGATGGATAGTGGTGAAGAGATTGTTGTTGATGGTGGTTTTGGGTTTATCGTCAATCACAATGTTATCATTTGTGGTAGCGGTGATATGGGTGTTGACAGAATATTAATTTTTATGGTGGTTCTAGTATATTTGTTGTTTGGTGTGTGTGTGTGTGTGAGGAGGGTGGGGATAGTGTGCGTCAGCCGATACTCGGGTGAGGCATTTCCGCCCCTCCTGGTCCCTGGAAATTTCTCTGGGCCGTTGGGCATGGCTGGGCTCACTGCAACACCAGGCGTTGGCCGTGTGTGACCCAATAGCACTTTGGTCTAGGTAGGATTACTCTTGTATGTGATAACCTCAACAATGATTCTGTATTTTAATTGTGTGTACTGTATATAAGGATGTAACCCAACCCCATTGTAACCCAACCCAACCCAGCTTAACCCAACTCATCCCAGCTTAAATCAACTCAACCCAGCTTAACCAAACCCAACACAGTTTAACCTATCCTAAGCTTACTCAACCCAAACTTCGTTTAACCCTAACCAACTCAGCTTAACCCAACTCAAACCCAGCAAAACCCAACCCATCCCAGCTTAACCCAACTCAACCCAGTTTAACCCAACACAACCCAACTCAGCTTAATCCAACTCAAACCCGCTTAAATCTAACCCAGCCTAACCTAACCCAATCCAGCCCTGTCTAAGCTAACCAAACTTAACCAAATTTAACCTAGTTTAACTTTACTTAACCTAACCTACAATTCCTTAATATCCCAATCTAGTGTAATCCAACCTAATCTAACTACTCTAACCTGACATAACCGAAACTAACTAACCTAATTTAACTGTACCACACTAACCCAACTCAACCTAACCTAACCTAACATAAGCCTCACCCAACCTAACTTGAGATAAACCTAAGCAAAGATGAGAGTTCAGACACCATCGAAATTAAAAAAACAAGAAAAGACAAATAAAATATTAAGATATTTTTCTAAGGTAACGCTGAAGGTACATACTACTGGATTAGTGAGGTACAACCTTACACATTAGGATATAGCAACTCTAAGTTTAGCCATATGTGTGGCTAGTCAATGACCTTGTATTAGCCAATGGAGAGAGAGAGAGATAACGCGGAAAGGGTGGTGAACTGTTAATAATGTAGATAAGTTAGCCACAGATAAGTTGCTTGGGGAGGGTTGTGATAGAGAGACATTTAGTGCTTAGCTGGTGCAAGTAAGTGTCCAGTTTTGGAAAACGAGTTGGCCTGCAAGATGGGTGTACAAGCACTACGTCTCACTTGCGCCGTTCTGCTGTTGGTAAGAATCTCTAACACCCGTCTCTGTCTCTTACCAGATATCTTACGGTTAAGAGATCGTTGTTTATTTAACCTATATCACCTCAGTAAATTTGTTCAGCCTTTTCTGCTACTTTGGTACTTGAATGATACTTTTGAACGCACTGGGAACACACTTAAACTGTTGACTAAAAGATTTCACTGGTCTAAATCGTCACAATCCACAGTTTGAGTTTATCAGCAACGAGTTTCTGAATAATATTTTTTTCACGATATTTTCAGATATGTTGGACATCAGATCCCGTTAATTGTAAGTACTTGCATCTAATTTACGGTCAGGTTTTAGTGTCATATTGAACTTATTGCTTGTTGTCCTGTAGTACAGCTCATAACATATGTTGCAATATTTTATTTAACTTTCATTTCTGTATTAGTGTTTGTATTACATTCTGTATTATTATTGTATAAACTATTTTTATAACTTTACGCTAATATTGTTTGTGTCTGGACTTGTACCAATGGCTCAGTACCTGTGTTTGTATTTGGACTAACACGATTGGCTCGCAAGGGAATACCTTTTTTGTGGATTACTTTTTGTGCTCATTTTTTTTTTTTATCTGGTCACAGTTGCACCGATATTATATTAACACCAACACATTCATGTTATGCTTCATCGTTCATAAAACAGCCTTTTACGCTAGTTAGCCGTATGAGCGTGTTGTCTCTAAACAATATCAAAGAAAACGTATAACCGTGACAGCTGCGTTTATGGTACAGTGTCTACGTTACTTTACTTTTATCCTCTTCACCAAAAGATCGGCTCGCTAGCCGCCCGGGCGATCGGCCATGTCTCTGTCACGCACTGTTGGCAAGTACTGGGCATGCACCGGCTCCTGAATGTACCTGAACCCGCTCCAGTGTTGGTCAAGTCTTGTCTTGAAAGAGCTCACTCTTTGTGCCGTCACAACACTTTTTGGTAGATTGTTCCAAGAGTTTACAACCCTCACTCCAAAAAAAGTTTGCCCTCACAGTTTTCTGGACTTGCAGCTTCTTCAATCTTGAGCTGTGACCCCTTGTGGGGTGAGCGTCCGCCAGCTTCAAGTAAGGACACTCGACTGAGTTGTGCCCCCTGAGATGCTTATACACCTCAACTAGGTCACCCCTTGCCCGTCTGTAGTATAAGCTAGGCAAGTTCAGGCGCTCCAATCTCTCAGGGTAGTTGAGGAGCCAAAGCGCAGGCACCAGTCTGGTGGCCCTCCTTTGAACATTTTCAACCAACTGACGGTCCCTAACATTTCTCGGGGACCAGACGGGGACAGTACTCCAGATGGGGAAGCACTTCACTCTTGAAGATCGTTACGAGGGACGGACCGTCTAGATATCTGAACGACCTTCTTACATAACCTAATAATTTATTTGCCTGATTTACCTTCTTCTCGCAATTGCCTGAGAACTTCAGCTCATTGTCAACATACACACCTAGGTCCTTCTCACATTCAGTCTCAACTAGTGCAGTTTCTTAATCCCGTTGGTACGCCCCAGGTGCATCCTCTTCCACTTCGCGACATTGAATCTCAGCAGCCATTTCTTCGACCATTCCTGGAGCCCACAGAGGTCCTTCTGCAGCTCTTCACAGTCCGCTTGGTTCTTGATTTCCCAAAATAACTTGGCGTCATCCGCAAACATTTGTATGGAGGAGTGTACAACGTCAGGCATGTCATTTATGAAACAAACAAACAACAGCGGGCCCGATACACTGCCCTGTGGTATCTCGCTTGTGATAGGTACAGATGATAATTTCATTCCATTAATCACCACACACTGCTTGCGTCATGTAGAAAGTCTTCTGTCCATGCTCGGACATTTCCCCGAATTCCGTACCCTTCCAGTTTGATTTTCAGCCTTCCGTGGGGTAGACTGTCGAAAGCCTTGGCAAAATCTAGGTCCAGTATATGTTATCGATATTACCACCCCGTTCCAGAATATGGGTCCAAATTTTAAGGTAAACACACCCCATATCTTGGTTATTATTCATTTGCGACGGAAATGCCATAGAAGAAATGTCGTCTAATCTGACTAGTTAGACCTAAAAAAACACATCAAAATAATTGTAGCTAAGTATGGTCCGAAACCTAACTAATACCGTATGGAGCTGTGTGAATGCTCTAAGATCTGAGAGCGTGGTGTGATGAGGTGGAGAGCTGGAGTCACCCAGTACAGTCAGCCGCTCAGAGGTCAGTGTGCGTGTGTGTAAGGGTCACTCATTGTGAGAGCTCAAGTGTGTAGTGGACACATCCTGCTCATAACATCTTATTATGAGTCAGCAATGATAAGTAGGGTTGATTATCTCGTATAATATTGACTAATATACGACTCGTGACCTTTTTTTAATTATAAAATTTTCGCTATTTGGACCTTAACTGTTGCTAGTTTGGCTGACAATTTTGATCTCATTTTGCTCAATATTTGATGCTTAATGCAATGCTACCACATGTCTAAGAAGTTAAATGTTATATTTATGTATATTCTGATGTCAAACCTGGGTGGTGGAAATGGTGGTGGTGGTGGTGGTGTTGGTGGTGGTGTTGGTGTTGGTGGTGGTGGCGGCAGCGGCGACGGCCTGCCTTGAGTACTAAAGATTGTAAAAATAACACAGGGTGTCCCAAGTAATCCCGAAGATCAGAATATATACGAATATATACAGTACAGTACAGGAAAACTAAGAAGTGAAATATAGAAAGACTGGAGGAGACAAACTAAGATAAACTTAAAGGTAAAACAAAAATACGATACTTAGAAATATAAAGAATTAAGAACTAATAATATGAGTAAAATAAATCTTAAGTACACTTAGAAACTGGACAAAACAATACTTAGAGAAATTGAATTAGAAAGTAAAACTGTGAAACAATTAGAAATGTAAAGAGAGAATATTTAAAGGAATTAGAAAAGAAATATAAATTCTTCCCCGCACTCCTCCACCCCCGCCCCCCTTCCCCCCACCATCGGTACTGTGCTGAGATTTCTGCAACCTGCAAAGTACATACATTTGATCTTGTACTTGGCACTGTTGTTTTTCACCTATGTTTGTATTGTGTCTTTTTCTCGTAATTACCATAGAATCTGAATTAGGTACCTGTTATGTTTTTGTTGTTTTTTCATCACAGGTCAGTCAGTGAAAATAGAAGGGGTCTCCACTAACTTCTTTACCATCTCCTGGCCACGAGTTCTTCAATGGTTTGGCGTAGAGAGTTTCACCATTACCACCCAACCTGAAGATTCTCACTCTTGTCAACAGGTGAGATCCTTCAGATGCATCACTCACCAATTGTTCAATACAGGTGGATTTTTTTTCTAAATACTAACTTAATCTCTTTTCCGTGTCATCTCTTCTCCCTGTGTCATCTCGTCTCCCTGTATCATCTCTCCTCCCTGTGTCATCTCTCCTCCCTGTGTCATCTCATTGCCCTTGATTGGACAGGTTAAACAGTGACAGGTAACCTCTTAACACCACCCCCAGACAATACCCTGCAAAAATGATACCTGCGTCTACAACAGCAGAGGATGTAGCAGTATCTTCCCATGTACCAACACCAGTATTGTTGTGACCGGCGACAATTACTCTGCTCCTCAGCTCAGTCTTATTACAGGTAAAATACACCTGTGTCCTTCTTTCTGATGTTCTGACAATTACACGTGTGTCCTTGTTGATATCTTCACAGGTACAGATGTGTCCTTGTTATCTTTGCAGGTATATATGTGTCCTTGTCGACATATTTGAAGGTATTAAATATTTATCCATTAACATTTTCCAAGGACAGGAGATATTTTTTTATACTAGTATCATTTAATTTGCCAGGTTAATACAGTAAAGCTTCAGGATCAATATACCACATGTGGATCAGCAGCTTTTGACCACGGGGTAATAACACGCGGAATAACTCTTACATTACTGATTAGTTAGTAACACAACATTACTGATTAGTTAGTAACACAAACCTAAGCAAAGGACTCTACCAAAATAATATAAAGTATATTGCTGTGTCGCCTATCCTCGGCCGAATTGCTTTTAGTTTTTTTTTCACCATTTTTATATACCAGCACTGTCTAGGTATATTGCATTTTCTATACACATTCTGTACTGTGTTTATGCATTGTTTATGTACATGCGGACCCAATTGTAAGCATTTGTGACGATTTTATTGCATTATCTAACTATCTATCTATCAACTTTATAGCTCCACCGATGGTAGAAAGCATAACCGTAGAGATTTATGGTGCTAACCTAACCATCACTTGGAACAACTCTGCCGCTGAAGCCTCCAATTGCTTAGAGGAAACTGACTTTGAGGTGCATTTGTCCGAGGATATCATCTTCATGCATACCAATATCTCTCAGAACACTTACTGGAAGTCACTGTGTGGGGTAACCGATGGATTTGTGGTGATGCAGAATAATGGTGGTGATGGTAGTAGCCGAACCACTGGTAAACTTATACATTACCATTACCCTGGTGAGTATATTATGTTCGTTTATTTTATTTATATTTTTCTTTCCCCTTTTATGCCCCTAAGTTTATTCATAGATTTATAAGTTAAATATAATTAAATAATGAAAATATATCGTATTGGTAAAATTTACTTATATATCCTCAGTGTTAGGATTTGGACATTAATACAGTGTAGTCTGTTGTTAGTAGTTAAACCTGTGTTGTTAACGTTTCCATGCCCAGTAACACCATACACACTAACACCATACACGCTGACACCATACACATTGACACCATACACATGACACCATACACACTGACACTATACACACTGACACCATACACACTGACACTATACACACTGACACTATACATACTGACACTATACACACTAACAAACTGCACTCTAACATCATATACACTCTCACCACGCTCTTAACACCATGCACTCTACTTTTCATTTAGTCGAATGTCACACTAAAATTACATCACCTACTTTACAACCACTTCATTACCACACTCTCTTGAGATTCCACCCTTGTCGACCACGTACTTTAATATATACCGCACTCCTTAAAAATCACGACCTAATATCATATTCCCATTATCGCTTCAATCTCTACACACACACACACACGCACACACTGTACTATCACACTTAATCATATCACAACCTCTACACCACACTTTAATAACACACACTAACACTACAACATCTGTACCGCCACACTTTAATAACACACACTAACACTACAACATCTGTACCACCACACTTTAATAACACACTAACACTACAACATCTGTACCGCCACACTTTAATAACACACACTAACACTACAACATCTGTACTGCCACACTTTAATAACACACACTAACACTACAACATCTGTACCACCACTTTAATAACACACACTAACACTACAACATCTGTACTGCCACACTTTAATAACACACACTAACACTACAACATCTGTACCACCACTTTAATAACACACACTAACACTACAACATCTGTACCGCCACACTTTAATAACACACACTAACACTACAACATCTGTACCACCACACTTTAATAACACACACTAACACTACAACATCTGTACCGCCACTTTAATAACACACACTAACACTACAAATATCTTTAACTGGATTGAAAGTAGAGTTTGTTGAGTTATCTAAACGTCCGTAAAGTTAACTTCTCAACCAAAAAAGTAAACTATTGATATTATGTCTAGACTTATATTTGTGTGTAGTTAATTTATGTCTGTAAAGTTACTGGTGTTTACAATTAAATATGTCTGTGGAATTCAATGTGTTTGGAGTTAAGAATTCAGTATGTGTTCTGTAAAATATTATTCTCTTCTCAAGCGAGTAAGGGAACACTTGACGACTGACAGAGGTAACGTAGTTTAAATTGCCAGAAGAAACTTCAACCTTTTAGCTCTGATATGGTTTTCTGTTTTAGGGTAATCAATGTTGTTTAGAGTATTACCTGTCTGTCTATAAAGTTAAATATATGAACTTTTTTAAGTGTGCGTGTGGTTATTTTTTCCCCGGCAAGATGTCATCCCTCTGGTAGCCTCTCTGAACACAACCTCCAAGTGCACCGAGGTGAGTGTAACGTGGGTGTACAATGATGTGTGTCCAGATGTTGCCTATATCACCGTATATATAGAACGTGGAGAATATTACTCCACAAAAAACACCAGCATCACTTCTTACGTGTTCCAAGGGTTGCTGATTGGCACACACTACGAAGTTTGCGTCAAGGCCATGGCCGCCGACCTCAGCACCTTGGGAAGTCATGTTTGTGAATACATCAGTACCGCGTCGGATGGTGAGTTGAGCTGTATTTGTGTCCATCATCGTTATATTTTTTTTTACAAATATGTTGATGACCTGACGTGACATGACTCTACACAGTATGCACACTAGGAGGGCATTGTTTATACATTGTGACCTCATAGTATCACTATCAGCTTGTGAAAAAATGCTTTGTTTGCATTGAAAGATAAAGTAGAGAGGGGAGTTGGTGATATACTGTACGTATTTTATCACAATTTGTGTTTGATACGTGGCACCATCTCCAACTAGATTAAACTGTTAACTAAAGTGTAAATATTTCATTCCTGTGGAAAAACCACATTACATTTGTACTTTAATGACTTTAGTCAATGATAATTACAGTACTCACCAACTATGGGTTTCTGAAGTGCGATTTTTTTTAAGAACTTAATTATTAAACCGCTAAAATTCCAATTCTGAGAGAAAAATATGTTATGATTGAGAAATTACTAAGGATTACATTTCTGGAGGTTTGAGCGCAAAATTAGATTTCGTTGTAAATTTCTGTTTAGGTACTCCTGAGCATGCTAATTCCAAATATATGGTTCACGGTTCGCTTGCGGGCTAATTAGTGGTCCTAATGATGCTTGGAATATTTTAATGGCATATTTCGATGCTATTTACTCACCAACTATGGGTTTCTGAGGTGCAGTTTTGGAGTTAATGTGATGTTCTGTAAGTACTTAATTAGTTAAACCCCTTAAATTTTAATTCCGAGAGAAAAGTATATTTCGGATGAAAAATTACTAAGACTTACTTTTTCGGCGGTTTGGGCCCAAAATTAGATTTTGTTGAAAATGTCATTATATGTACTCCTGAGCATGCCGATTCCGAATATATGGTCCACGATTCGATTGCGAGGTAATGATGCTTGGAAAATTAAATGACATTTTTCATTGCTAATTACCTGCCTACTATGGGTTTCCGAGGTGCGATTTTGCTGTTGCATCGTTTTTAAAAATGGCAGTCACAGCACTCATAGGACAATATCTGAGACGGCCCTATAGCCCTAAATGTTCACCCTGCCCCTCCTCTAGCATGAGCCAAATTCCATGCGTCTATCATTAAACCCACAATTCCTTGACATATTTCCCCAATCTGTCCGACTAAACCAAGGAGAACCAACAGACCCATCAGTTGCTCCTTACGAGTAGGGTCCCTTGTTTAGGCTTTGTTACTTATTAGTAATAGTAAATATACAAGAATAAAAGTGGTAATTTGTTTATGCATATAACATGCATTACATTGTGCCTCGACTATCTAATGAGTATGAAAATCGTGAGTCATAGAGTGACATTCTCTTGTAACCTTCAACAAGACACTGTTAATATTATTTTTATTTATAATAGTAGTTGTAGTATAAATGTGGTTTCTGTCTCAGTTGTGGCAGACTTGACGTTGGAGGCTCTGGGTTCGACAGAGTTAAGCGCCAATTGGTTACCTCCCATATGTCCAGCAGGAATTGGTCTCTACTATGAGGTTCAGGTTGAGGACGAGACGTTTTTTGATTACCATTATGATGAAAATATGCAAGAAACTAACCATACATGGAGTGATTTAAGGTATGGTAACACGTATAGTGTGTGTGTTACGGCTCGATATAAAGAAACTAAAGGCGAGGAGCTCTGCAAAAAAGGCAACACATTACTAAGTCGTAAGTAATATCTTTTTTTCAGTTTTCTAATCATTTAGATTTTTTGTTACGTTACTGATTTGGACCGTTATCAAATGTGACAAAGCAAGGAATATTCACTCTAAGCTTATGTCACGGCCTAATTTCAGGCTATTTTTGGGTGGTTGGGGGCAAGAATTATTGTTGAGCATTCATGGCATGTGACTTTTTGCATAGTATCATACATGACAGTGTGTATGCCTACCCTATTTAGCATTGGTATTTTTCATAAACAATTTCACATCATAAAATCCAGTTTGTTCTTCATTTACAGATCATTATGATTCATACAAATGGCAATGCCAGGCAACAATCCTCTCATAAACAATGTGCTGCATATATTCAAGAAATTATATAACACAAGCACATCAGTTTTTTAAATCTTCTCCCAATAGGACCGTACTTAGTGAAGGTGGAGGAAATCAGCTATACCAAACTTCTGGTCACTTGGGATTTCGACACCTATCAAGGTGACAATTCGTATGATTTTAAGTTCAATGTGACGTGGGGTGACTCCCTTGAGAACTCCGCCATCACTCAATATTATCAGTATTCCATTAGAGGGTACAACGTGAGCCGGGAGAACCGTAGAGTGTGCGTAAGGGCCACCCAACATGACGACTTTTTCAGCCAAAACGGATGTCTGGGAGACCCTTACGTCCCAACCACCCAAGCCCCTTACCCAGGTTGGTAATCATGGTGTAATCCTGCCCATGTGTAGTGAGGGTGTGATGTTCCTGCTCGTGTGTGGTGATGGTGTGATGTTCCTACTTGTGTGTGGTGATGGTGTGATGTTCCTACTCGTGTGTGGTGATGGTGTGATGTTCCTACTCGATTGTGGTGATGGTGTGATGTTCCTACTCGTGTGTGGTGATGGTGTGATGTTCCTACCTGTGAGTAGTAAGGATGTGATGTTCCTGTTCGTGTGTGATGATGGTGTGATGTTCCTACTTGTGTGTGGTGATGGTGTGATGTTCCTACTTGTGTGTGGTGATGGTGTGATGTTCCTACTTGTGTGTGATGATGGTGTGATGTTCCTACTTGTGTGTGGTGATGGTGTGATGTTCCTACTTGTGTGTGGTGATGGTGTGATGTTCCTACTTGTGTGTGGTGATGGTGTGATGTTCCTACTCGTGTGTGGTGATGGTGTGATGTTCCTACTTGTGTGTGATGATGGTGTGATGTTCCTACTCGGTTGTGGTGATGGTGTGATGTTCCTACTCGTGTGTGGTGATGGTGTGATGTTCCTACTCGGTTGTGGTGATGGTGTGATGTTCCTACTCGTGTGTGGTGATGGTGTGATGTTCCTACTCGTGTGTGGTGATGGTGTGATGTTCCTACTTGTGTGTGATGATGGTGTGATGTTCCTACTTGTGTGATGATGGTGTGATGTTCCTAATCGTATGTGTCCCCGGAGAATAACACACACACAGCATATGACCTAAAGTTTACTTTGCATCAGTATTCACACAAGAGATGATGGATATCATGCTAGTATCTACGAGAATGTATACCTTGGGGGCGGAAAATGAATTAAGAGAAATAGGAATTACAGACAATATCATAAAAAAAATTTGAGTTTTTAAGAATTCAAAGCTCTAAGAGTGGACGGAGTACAGACTTCGGTGATAATGGAGGTGGCAAACGAGATATGCACTTCACTAAAACTCCTATTCAGAAAATCTCTGGATCTGTTAAGAAACTAGGACTGGAAATTAACCAACATCACTCCAGTGTAAAAGAAAGGTAGAAAAAGTGCAGCAAAAAACTACACGTCTATCAGCCTAATATTCAATAGTTGCAGTCTCTTTGAAAAAATCCTGAGACACACCAGTACCTGACCAACACCTGACCAAGAAGTCTTATCAACGCATCACAACATGGTTTCATGTTGAGAAAATCCTGCCCAACAAACTTACTCACTTTTCTTGAAACAGTAACAGATTACGTGGACCAAGGCCTACCAGTGGGTGTGTTGCATATGGATTTTTCTCGGGCATTTGACAAAGTCCTACATACACATGGAATCACTGGCAAAATATTGAAGTGGATTATCAACTGGCTCGAAGACAAACAACAAAGTTTGGTCATATTTGGAGTACGTTCAGAAGGCACTTAATGCATGAGGTGTAGGGGTGGAGGCCTAAGTAGTGCCTTTGTTTCAGCAATCAGCCACATCCTTTGTATGGGCTCAGGCATTGGTTCTCATTGCTCACCCCGACTCTCACCTATGATTTCCAGTTTGCCATAGCACAACAAGAGCCACACCCAGGTAAATCGTGTCAGCTCACGGACTAAACTAGGTGAGGGTAGTGCATAGAGTGTCTCCGGGTGTGACCGAGTATGAATAACTCCAAAATTTCAAGTGCACAAAGTTTTTGATATTCAATGCCTCAACTCATTCAGATGCTCGAGAAAAAAAGTTGTTAAAAGTGAATGTCACTGCTGTGCAACTCAGTTTGACGTTTAATATCAGCTAAGCAGGACTTTTATCATATATGGCAAGATGGCTGTAACTACTGTATTTAGCATTCCAAGTATTACCTAATCAGCCCCATATAGGTTAGGCGATACACAGCAACAACTCCAGAAGTGCCTTAAGAGTTTCACAGGAGAAACCTTGCTGTGCACAAATCTTGGAGAGAGTTCTCTCCACTGGTCATCAACCAAGCCCATGAACAAAACAATGCAGTCATCAAAGGTGACAGGGTGGGGGGCTAGACAAAGGACCAGACAGCACTTACGCGTTGGATGGTGGCTGGTCCTGAAGTGACTCGTCTAGTTGCTGGGTACGACAGTGTCAGGTAATAAAGACGCAACAGTCACAAGCAAACATCATGAGTAGACCTCAAGTTATCAAAGGTCTTCTTTGAGAAAGTGGAGACACTTTCCACCGTGCTACTGGAGATGGGCAATCCCTTCCAAGAAGAGTCAGCCGACCAGCCGGTGTTGGACACAAAGGATATTGCCAATCCCACCCTTGCTGAAATAATTGGCACACACATCCAGAGGATGGTAGACCTTTGGAAATGTCTACCAGCTCAAGCAGTGAAAGCAAGAACAGTTCTGGGCTTCAAAATAGCCCTTAGCAAGACTGTCAAGAAATATGGAGTCATCTTACACAGGCCACTGGCCTCCTTTCGGCTTGGCCAGCTGCAGCTTTGGTGGCCATTAGGTAAATTGGGTAAACAGCGTAATGTTTCTGCTCTTGTGAGAATAGTGCGATGTTCTTGGTCATAGGTGGTGGTGATGTGATGTGTCTGCTTACATATGATGTATAGGTTTCATTATGAAGTTAAGTTTTGTTTAATTAGTATGTCTGATTTAGTTAGATTATCTTGGGTTAAGTCAGGTTTGGTTATTTTAGGCTAGGTTTGATTAGTCTAGGATAAGTTTGGTTTGTGAGGATTAGGTATGGATAGTCGATCCAAGGTTTATTGGTTACGGTAGGTTAAATAAGATTAAAATTTAAATTGGATTAGGGTAGGATTACATTAGTTTAAGTAGAATTAGGTTTAGGTTAGATTAGGTCAGATTATTAAGTTTTCTTCAGGGATAGCTACTCCAGCTTCCTTCTGTACCAACACTGGAAAATAAAGGTTGTAACAAAGAACAGACCGACAACTAGTAAGTGGTGAAATGGTAATTAAAAAATATATACGGTACTGTATGTATATATATATATATATATATATATATATATATATATATATATCAATATATATATATATATATATATATATATATATATATATATATATATATATATATATATATATATATATATATATATATATATATATATATATATATATATATATATATATATATATATATATATATAATAAAAAAGGTAAACTTAAATAATTTTCTTTTTCTGTTCATTTACAATACAGTTATTGATGGTATGTCGGCGGGGTTGATAGCATTCATCGTCATCGGTTGCCTCGCTGCAGTTTTTGCCATCATAAGCATCGGTAGCATCGCCGCAATACGTATGAAGAGGAGAAATATATCCAATAGTTCTCTCACACATCAGAACAACTTGGGTATTCAACATTAAATGAGTTAAGGTTTTTGGGCTTGTTACAGATAACTTGTAGAGATAGATAGATAGGAAGAGAGTGTATGTGTGTGTAATCATGCACACTTAAAAAACGAACCCCGTCAAAAGATGATGATGATTAAAATTCTGGGCATAAGTGAATAATGCACCTGATGCACAGTCTAAGGGGGAGGGGGGAAGGGTGATGTTATACCACCCCAGGCGCCTGCGATTTGGATTTTCGATTGGACCAGATAGCTTTCAGATAGCCAGAAAGAGGCATAAAAATACAAAATTTGTGTAACAATCATTTATATAGTGAGGGATACATGTAAAGTACTGCATTTTTAAATTCCCATACTGTATAATTATACTTAGGCCACATAAAGTTGGTGAAAAAAAAAACTGTCTCATAATTATATAAAAGCAACTGTGATAAGCTTGTTGAGAGTTGTTGGTGCCATTTTTTTTTTAATAGTCCAAAAAAATATGCCTGATTTTTTTTTTTTTTTTTTAGTTTGTACAGCTGTTAAGGGACACACCAACAATATTTCTGAGTTAAAAATTGAGATAGGAGTTGACCTTTAAGTATTCACTCACCATTTCTTGGTGTGCCTATACTGCATTGCTGTGTAAGATTACTCTTTCTGCTCTCCAACCATCACACATTCTTCTATCCACACCTATTTTCAATCTACTATCCAGAGAAGTTCAGCAAGTTATTGTCCTGTAATTCATAATGTTGAGAAACTCAAAAACCCTTACACATGCACTATTTAAATGTACTAGTACATGTAATCCACTAACTATGAAATATATTAAAATACAAAATCTATAGCTACAAATTATCCTTCACTACCAAGGATGATGGTGTGTGTGTGTGTGTGTGTGTGTGTGCAATCTCTTCTAGACACGCATAACAAAACCCACAACAACCCCCCCCCCTTGTTAATTTGAGCATAACTTTCAATGTTCACTCCATATTAGCTGCCTTCACTGTTGTTTTCTCTCTCACCACACCTTCCTAATATTTTGCTGTCAACCACACTTTCCTTATATGTACAGTAAACTCTCGGTAACTCGGAATTTCATATTAGTCGGCATGGATGTGATCTCGGAATGTATTATAGTAGTGTGCAGTATAACTCGGGAAATACAGAGATATATAAATTATCTGGGAAAACCTCGGCATATCTGGCCACCTGCATCACCTACCATGCCTCTGTGTCACCTACCAAGCATCTGTCACCTACTATGATGCTTCATTCTTTAGTAATTACATTGTAATTTTTTATTGTTGTAGGAGGAGAAGTGCCTCGATAATTCGAAATTTGGGATGACTCAGCAAGGCCAGAGCCCCACATGTGCCGAGTTCTCGAGGATTTACTGTACAATATTTCACTATTTCCTCAACTAGTTTCTACATAACAATTTACATCACTTAATACTTTTTCATCATAGTACAAGCACAGTAATCCCAAATAACACATTCTAAATAAATTATTCTACAAATCTCTCTTGTGATTGTTTTTATCCTTTGTTACTACAGTTCTGTACACTGTATACCGGTATATATATTATATAAATTTTTGCTGGTTCTATTTTACAAGTAGAAGTGATAATCACAGTTTCATGTACTCACCATTTGCATATAAGCATTGAGCAAAGGCTAAATATTTTATTGCATCATCCTAAGCTCCAACTATAACTGACCTCACTTATTCAAGAACAGTGGAGTCGCAATAAATCGCTGAATACAAATTCCCGTCTTTAAATTCGCGAGTGCTGTACAGTACCTCTAACAGCTGCACTACCTCTTTTTTTTTTTTGCATTCAAATACTGTAATCCAAATTTGTGGCAGCAGTGTTTATTTACATAAAAAACATAAAAGTTGGGCAAATATAATTTCAATGCTCTAATGTGGCTTACATATAAAGAAAATGTGTGACTTGACAACTGCCAGTGCACAAGATGGGCCGAGATTGGCTGTACAGTGATCCCTCGGTTAACGAGCACCTCGGTTAACGAGATTTCGGTTAACGATTTACCTTCCATAAGATTCTTAACTTCGGTTAATGAGCAATCCCTCGATTAACGAGTTTTTTACGAACCAACTTCAACATGTTTTCGCTTGCACTTGGCGGTCCACCAGCTGTAGTATTAGTCCGCCAATACAGTAATCGGTTTTACGGCTTAAATTCCTTACTATTTTAGTAAATATCAAAAAGTTTATACTATTCAATAATTTTAAAAGTTTAATATTAACTTTTTTAGTCATTTTAACAATTATTGAACATAATTGAAGGTAAAGAAACTAGTTTCTGGCGTGCCATCCAGCCTGTTAACACACCAGACAGGCGTTAGTCTCTCTCTGTTTTCAGTGGAGGTAACATCTTGCTTGAGACTCTCTTCAACTAAATGCTTTTTTCTGTGTTTCCAAGCAAATTATTGGTCATTTTGAAATATATTTTACATATTGACAATATATAATGCAGTGCAGTGTTGATTTAAAGAAAATAATCTTGAATTACACCAAGAGAACTAAAATTTTATGGGTGAAATGGTGCCATGGGGTGACTTCTCTTCCACCCCAATGCCTTCTCTTCTCCCTTCTCCTCCACCCCCATTCTAATTCCCATCATCATCATCCAGGAGCCTTCTACATACACACCTCAAAGTAAGTTTACTTTTCTACCTTTTTTGTTGAATTTAGGCAATTTTCGGTGAGCTGGAACCAATTACCCAAAAACAATGGTTTCGGTTACCGAGTTTTTCGGTTACCGAGTTTTTCGGTTACCGAGTTTTTCGGTTAACGAGTTTTTCGGTTAACGAGCAACCTGCTGGAACGGATTGTGCTCGTTAACCGAGGGACCACTGTACCGCTGACAGGTGGTGGCACTGAGGGCGTATACATTTGGGAAATATGCAGCTTGTGCCCATACCCATCTCGATGTTGACTTTATGTACAATATCTATGAGTTACTGTATTTTTTATGAATTATGTCAGATATTTAGGGTTTTATTAAAACAGTTTTAGAAACAGTTTTTACAAATTTTTGGCCTCTGGAACCAAACCAATTATTTCCATTTAATTCAATTAAACTATAATTCGCAATTTGATAATTCACAGTGTCTTCTGGTACGTAAACAAATTATTACAACTCCACTGTTCCCTTTATTTTTCTTTGGCCACTTATCTTTCTATAAACTAAACTAAAACATAATAATTATAAATACATTAAATTGTGCTTTATAAATATTACAAAAAAATATTTAAATCTATATATTCATCACTAATCCAACTTGAGATTCATAATAAAGGGTGTCTCATAAGTCACACACCATAGTGTACAGGGTGTCTCATATGTCACAACCTAGGAGACACGCTGTACAATAAAGCTTCACCTTCCCTAAACTTGACAGACATGATATTATAATACAGGTACAGTATTTTTTAAACTCAAGATAGGGTATATATATCTATATTCATTTAGGCTCAATTACAGCAAAATATGAACACTACAATAATGACATGAAGAACGTACCTTAATGAAAATGTTAAAATCACGGGTATATCTTACAGAATATTGAAGAGAAGCTTAAATATTCCAGCAATGATAATTTGAATAGTAAATTCTCGTCCTTGATGGTTTCAGTTATGTGTGGACCCTCTTCAGGAATTCTGTCACTGCTGGTCTTGTTTTCTCAAAGTACAGCTCTCTTCTCTTTCCTATAGAATACCACTTATCAAACAATAGAATTCTGCTAGTGGGCTGCAACTAAGGGCTAGTGAAACAAATGGCCAATTACAATATAGTACTGTATATGTTAAAAAAGGCCTGCATCATAATGATACCATGACTGCTCATTCTATATGAAAATCTAAAACAAATAATAATAATAAAAGCTTATTAAGAAACAAAAACACTTCATTAAAGCTGTTTGTGCTCAGATGTCACTGGCAGTGTACAGGACTATAGGGTACTGTTTCAGTTAGTGACCTCACACCTTCATATCCCACCACACAAAACTCTGAGATGTTAGTGTTATTGTCTTTGGCAATATACTTCTTTCTACTCATTATCACTATTTTTCATACACCAAATATCCTTTTTTTTCACCACACAATCACTTTATTGTCAAAATAATTTTCCAAGTGAATACTGTACAGGATCATGAAAAAGGCGTCTCAAAAAGTGTCTATACACTGCCTCACCGGTTTTTGTGGCAATCACTGAATGTTTATATTACAACAACAACATTGTCCTCACTTGTTGATGCGGGTCGCACATCATTAAGTGAGGACAATGTTTCTGTTATAATAGGAGCATTCATACAATTGTCTTTTTGAGACATCCTGTACTTATATAAATAATGTACAATATGCCGTGCAAAAAATAAAATTTATCTCTAGAAAGTCACTATGTAATACCCTAAAGAGATCATTGTGACACATCACTTGATGAGTCTGATGACACAGCAACACCACTGACACTTCTCACTGACAGCAAAGGGGATGGGGTGTCATCAGTGACCTTTTCTACTGTTTGAGTGCTTTGTTTTTTCTGTTGCAGAAGGTAAGCATAGTACATGGACCAAATAGAAAGTGGCCTCATGTATCCAATAGCACGGTATTTGTGCTCCCCATATAGGGCCTCAGGAGTTTCAAAACCCAGACCAATTTTCTCATAGACTGTGCGATATACTCCTTCAGCAGTTTTAAATCCTTCTTCTACCATACCCTGGAATAATCAGATGATCTTATTACAATAAGTCATTGCATATATTACATATATTGCAGGATGACTTTTCTAAACAATAATCTCTCTCACCACAATCACTATTAGGCACATTTTTATGAGTTTTGGCTTAAAAGACCAGACATAGCGGTGAGACGTACTCGCATTACTGCTGTTATGTTGTAAATAGTGGTACCTGCTGCAGTGCCTGCCTAAACCACCCACTACTCTATACACAACTACAACTTCTGGCGAGTACATTGTTATTCTTTTTAATTTTCTTTTAAACCTGGATAAATATAAATATTTTTAAAACCATATTCACTCATTATTACAGGTTAGTATTAGGAATGCTTTGCTGATTTCTAGAAGTTAAACTAACATTGGGGATACATATAGGCCCATAAAAACAGAAAAGAATGAACAAGGGAACAGACTAAGATATGAAGCAATGAATTACAGTAATACAATATATGATAAGCCTTTTCATAGCCAAATTATTTTTCTTTACAATTAATGATCCAGATAAACAGAAGAAGGCAAAAACACAAGATGAGAGGAGAGAAAATGTCAAAGGTATAAGTCAATTGTTCGAGTCAAATATAACTTGCGAGTAATTTTGTATCAATTGCCTTCTCTTAGTGAGTAATGATACTGAAGTTATAAGATCTATGGAAAGTAAAGAAATAAAAATCCCTTAACCCTTGGACTTAAATCACCTGAGGTGTTGTGGATGTTAATGACAACCTTGAAATATATGTGAAAATCTGTTTTCTGTGGTAACAAATATCTTCCTTCCTTCCCCAGCACTCTCCCAATATACACCCCATCATATACATCTAATTTTCCCATTACTGATGATGACCCGGCACCTTGGGATATTGTTAATTCTCTTCTACACACACTATCAAGGTTTTTACAAGTATCCGCAAGGCCTTCATGTGTGTTGGGGAGTTTACCTCAAATATCATTGTTGCAGCCAGTCCGTATGTGACTCCCACCCACATCTCTTCACTCTGCATGGTGTAGCGGTCAATGCTGCCATCAGGATTCATTCCATTCACTGCCCCCATTTCTCCATTGTTGAACTGTAGCACATTGTATTCATACAACAGCTCCAGGACTGATTTGACACAATCACGTCGAAAAACCTAAAATAAATTTTTTTGGATGTTGAACATATATCAAGAAATTTTCTTCAAGGTTAATTTACATAAATATGAAGAAAAAAATCATTCGTATTCCCTATTATTGTAAAGTACAATTTGCTGTTACTTTACCTGGAGGCTATGTTCTCCCCAAAATTTACTATACATATACTGAATTCTTCCAAATACATGATACAAATGAAGATTTACAAATAAACTTCTTTTCATTTGCACCTGTTAACATTGCTGGCAGCATTGTTGCCAAGTGAGACTAGTCATTGTAGCCACATCCCCCCTAACCCCCTTGTTACCAGGCCAAGCTGTGAAGTGTTATGGTTATTTTTCAATTCACAATTTTGGGTAGATATACATAACTTTCTTCTTTCTTTTACTCAGTTACATGCGCACACAATCCTACATCCATATTGTGTAAACAAAAGTAAAATAATTATCATAAGCTCAAGCACGTTAAGGAAATAAACATTTCTTTGCACATGAGTTAGCAGGCTGAGCCGAAGGAAGGATTCACCAGAGGCAGCGTCCCAGCTGGGCTGCATTGCTATAATAAGTGTTGAGGCCAAACAGCCATCGCCTTAGCAAATGGCGGTTAAGCTTTAATTTTGCTTTTCCTTAATGATTTTACCTGTACTTTTTTTATCTAAATTGTATACATAGATTGTTTGAAGTAACACAATTGTTAAATAAAATAAGAAAGGAGTTACAGGATGTTATGAGTTTGCTTCAGCCTTTTGACTTACCATGTAGGCCGTTACTTTACATCAGTGATAATATTCCTTACTGTTTTTATATACTGTATATATATTTTCTTGTTTTTCAGTATTTTATATTAGTTTTGTATTTGTAATAGTAACACAAGACTTGGCCGTATAACCACATCCCCCTATCTCTCTCCTTATGTTATGGTTAATTTTGAACTCGTAATTTCATGTAAATGAATGTACAGTAAAAGTCCAAAAATCCAGATGCCAGAAATCCGGACCACCCGAGAATCCGGACTTTTCGAAAACTCAAACTTTTTTTTTTTAGCTGGCTTTTGTGCGCATGCGTGAGCGCCACAGCTGCACAGCGACAAAAAGCGACCACGCGATTGCCACTTTAAAAAAAAGCAATGAAACTGTGACAACGTATGTAATTTGGAGTCCTACTCTTTCCATTTACAGAGCCCATAATAATGGCTCCTAAAGTAGATAAACTTCGTTGTGTGAAGAGAAAGAACAACATGTTGAAATTGAGTGACAAACTTTAAATAATTAAGAAAATAGAACGTGGTGTGAGCAATAATGTTCTAATGGAAACATACAACATTGGAAAGTCTACAATTTATGATATAAAAAAGGCAAAGAATAAAATTCTAGAATTCACAGCTTTTTCTTTAAAACTGCTCGTTTTGATAAATGAAGCATGCTATATTTGCTAATGAATAAACTATCAAAATGTACCTGTTCATCTCTTCTTTATTCCTCCTTAAATTTGAATTTTAAAAGTACTGCCTGAGATTCCGGAAAATCCGAAAATCCGGACCGACTCAATCCCCAAGCACTCCGGATTTTTGGACTTCTACTGTAATTTTCTTCTTTTTTTTACTGTTACCTAAACACACAATCTTACATACAGAATGTGCACAAAAAAATTATTATTATTATTATTATGATTAGGTTAAAAACATAAAAGGGAATATACTTTCTTCATGCGTTAAGAGTTCACACTATGTGGGGGAGGAGGCAGTAAGGGATCTCAGCTGTCTCCTGTGTGTAGTGAAATGATTGACAAAGTTTGTCATCCAGCAGCCAAATGGCAATACAGTACTGTACAGTATTTTGTTTTTATTTATTGGTATATATTTATTTAATCCCCACATTTACTGGTACTATACAGCTCCTCCCCAACTTACAATGGGGTTAGGGACCCAAATCCAGGTCGTAAGTCGAAAATGCTTAAATAATACATAGAAAATCTAAAATGGGTGTTTCTTTTTCTTCTCAGCACCACAAAACTCTCACTTTTAAGCTTGCCAGCTATTTTAAAGTGAATTACAAACAAGAATTTTGTCAGTACACAGCGCAATCACTGACGTTGGGACTCGAAAATACGTAATTTGACACAACTTTGGTACGACTAAGGCGGTCGTATGTCCGGGTGGTCGTAAGTCGAATAGGTCTTCATAGGAAATGGTAACTGGTGAGAAATCAGTTTCAGAGTTGGTAACACAGTTCACAATATTAGTTGTTGTGCTGGTGATCACAGCCAAGATGCATTGGTGTGAATCTGATGTCTTGCTACAAATTACATCTAGGGATATACCTGGCATTTCTCAAAAGCTAGGGTCAAATTATAGAAGAGATATATGAAAAACTCAGGCTTTTTTACTAAAAACTCAGGGGTCAAACTGTATATGAGATCAGTTTATAAATGAATATACACAGTATTCACAAAGAAATAGAGGCGTAATCTTGAAATCCATTTTATCAGCAGTGCAAGTCGCCAGCAGGCAGGTAACTGGAGTGCTGTTTGGTGGTTCAATGTCATCAGACAACCCCCTAATGTCAACCAGTGTTGATTTGTTAATTCAATTGGATATACCTGTATCAATCATCCGTCCCTCCCATCACTCTTAAAAAGGAACATTTGATGCAATATCTGATATTTTGAGGCTAAGAAATATTACCAAAACCACTGACTAAAGGTCAGCTGGCCACAAATATGGTAGATATTCTTCTCGTTATTTACTAATATTTCTTCTATTGTATTAAACATGAAAAAGCAAAAATGTGCCTATGTTCACATAAAATATATCAAAAACAAGTAAATTCAGTTTCTATATAACTTGGGGGACACTGGCAGCAGTGTAAGATACAGTCAACAGGATGTGAGAAGACACTTACATGAACATAGACCATTTGTACAGTACATATAATAATGAATATGATGCAGGTACTGTACTGATTGATTGATTTAAGAGTTCCACTTCACAAGACCATTTATAAATCAATCCTTGGTAAATCAAGTGATATCTGCAACGTGTATTTTAACCTAAATTTAGACAAACTGCAGCAATAATGGGCAAATTCCACCTACAATTGATCCTAACAAGACAGTGACCCATCTGCTCAGACATATTGTAGCTATGTCTGTTAATTTTAAATATTTACAAACACACTATGACCATTGTGATTCTACCTTTGGGTGTATTTGAGATTATAGTAAGCAAACGTTCCTCATCTAAGAATAGGTCCCGTGTACACCAAGTTATACTGTACATCAAAGATCTCAAGGAAGTTTAATATGACGTATTCTGCTGGACACATGAAAAGGAATACTGTACTGGATAAAAAATCAGTAACCTAATGATAAAAACAAAACATTCTTTAGGATAACTGACCTCAACTCCAATATTAGAGAGGGAGAGGTACCAGTGGCCCACCAATTGATCTGACATGATGCTGTTGCTGTGAGGGGCATCACAATTATCAAACTTGTAATATTTACCTGTAAATACCAACAAAAATATCAATATTTAGCACACAAGAAGTAAAGGACTCACAACTATTCATATTATGTAAACATACATTCATCTAACTTCCTTATTTTTTATCACCTCAAGGGAACAGTGACCCTGCCTTGCCTGCTAAGAGGGCACTTGAACATCCTACATATAATGCCCAGGAAGTAACTTGGCCTGTATTACCAATCAAAATCACTTGTTTATGACAAAATAAATTGACAGAAGTACTTTGACACACCTATTTATTTGTATACAGTACTTCATTCCAAAGCCCAGACCAACTCTCTATCTTCTATGCTCATATTGAAATACAGTATACACAACTCTTATCTGTGAATATCTATTATGCATTTCAGGACCTCCCAAATTGTGTGATTTTTCTGCATATTAAACAGAACATTTCCACCATAGTTTAGCTAATGTAGCCACAGAAAGAATAGAGAGTTCTTTTCTATATTACTGACCATAGATTGTTGTATTGTCGGAGGGGACAGTCTAAGTGAATTGTAATGCTCGTTATATTAATCAACATCATATCACTTTATTCTTGGAGATGTACCGCACAATTATTAATCAGTAACCAAGCCTAAGCAAAGGATCCTACAGGAAAGAAGCTACTGATGGCTTTGCTGGCTATCCTTGACCAAACTGCTATACTGTACTGTCTTTATACATTTGAAATTGTATACTTTCAGTGCCTACAGTATATACATGATGAACTATATACCTGCATTGTCTATATACAGTAGACCCTTGACATTTGCAGAGATTAGGTTAAAAAAAAAAAGTGAATACAGCAACTGTGAATGTAGAAACCATATTTCAAAATGAAACATTGGGTTAAATTCCTGGTACAACTGAACGTGGAGGGGAATGGTAAAAAGTTAAGAACAATAACAACTGTACAAAAAACTCTGGGCTTATAAATAATAATATTCTATATTAGTACTGTACAGTACAGTATATAATGTGTTCTCACTTATCTTTGATGATGATAATGATTTGAGGTGTGTGTGTGAGTGATGTGTGGGCAAAATTTACTTTTCAAGAAGTGTGCATCAATGTTTTAAACACTTAAATAGACATCCATTATCATATACAGTACTGTACTGTACAAAACTTTTTTCCGCAGTTCCACACATTTCTTGTCTCTTACAAGATTAGCCTGACACACTATGCCACAATTCATTATCAGAAAAACTCTTTATGAATAGAAGATGGTTTGAAGGCAGAAACAGCTATTTTTGTACTGTACATAAAATGTGAAATTGTATTTTTAGATGTCCTATGTATTATTTTTGGTGTTTATCATAGCAGTTTTTGTTCAACTCTGGTGGGAGGGAAGGAGGGAGAGAGGGAGGAGGAAAATCTTAACTTTGTATATTTTTATTTCCTTCTAAAATATATTCAAATTTTTTACCCAAATTCCCATTATAACAAGTTTTGATTTCCGTTTTTCAAATTTTAGTCATAAATTAACCATTTCCATTATAGTGAATTTCTATAAAACAATTTTCTGAAAATCTGGGTATGACTGTGAAAGTGAATAGAGCACACTGTATACTAAGCCTTCAGTACACAAGGAGACAGCACGGATGGTACTGCAATCAACCGCATTCACTTCCCCAAGTTGTAAACTTATGTACCAATTTACAGTTGGGTGAACTGGGAGTGCCCGGGGATCGATCTACCAACCCACTACTTGACCACCGCACACCTGGATGACTGTATTTAAATGTAAATAAGCATAATTCACAAATTTAGAAACCAGGAATATTGAGGTTTATTGCACATATGTTTAGCCAATTGTAAACTTAAATGGCAATTTTATTGAAAAAATATCCAGCATTCTATCAAAATACATATGGTACTTACTTAGTGTTTCATCCTTGTCTCATATACTTATAACATAATCCCATCAAAAATACAATATTTTTAACTATACATTTTTACCATTCCATAGTTTTTCTTGGAGTGTTATTTTGGCTTTTGTAAGAGCTTCTGCAAATTTAGTTTCTTCAGTTTCATCTTTCAGTTCTGCTGCCATTTCCACCATGACAGCCAAAGCTGCCACCCAGAGTGAGCAACAGTAAGCTGAAGGTCCATGCATGATCCAAGAGTCATATGTTTGATCTGCTTGTCCTTCATTCTCAATCAATCCATCACCATCTCGATCATAAGTGAAGCAGCGGTCCATCACTGCTCGACATATGGGCCACATGTGTGTTAAGTAATCCTGGTCTTTAAAGAAAGTGTGATCTCTGTAAACCTGAAAATAATTTGTTTATCAGCAAATCTGTAGAATAAAAATAGTCTTGATTTAAAAAAAAAATTAATAAATGGTGGATGTGCAATGTGAGAGCTGGATATTGAGAGTATTGGTGTGGTTTTTCATCAAGGTATACTGAGGGTTTTCGGGCACGTGGAAGGGGACTGAGAGTTTATTTATTGAGGGAAGGAGAGCAAGGGGTCGGCCAAGAATGAAATGAGTCGTGGTTGTTAAGAAGTGACCTCTGAGATAAGAACTTAATGTTAGAGGAAACAAGAGGCTGCACAGCAAGGAGATTAGCCATCAGGTAATCACATCTAACCCACACAAGCATGGAAAATAGCCAAAAAATAGTAATGATGATAAAGATTTATCCCAAACCTTCATTTTAATATCACCTGTAAAAATGTAACTTTGTTGATATAAAAGTCAAGTTATTTTATTACTTGTGTGGTGCAGCTGTTGTAAGGAACTCTGAGAACACCTTGTCAGGTTCCACAACAAAGATATTGAGTTAAGAGACTTTTAATAACTATTTCACCACACCGCTGCAAACAAAACCAAATACCCGTATACCAAACACGAAGACCAAACAAAGTTCAAGTGACACTGTAAATCTACTGATGGTCTTACCTGTAAAACAAACTTCAGATTGAGGTCCTTCCAAAAGCTTATGTCGTGGATCTGGTACGCATTTATACGAACAAATGGCTCATCCTCTGAAAAAGCATAAACCACAGTCAAAGCAGTGACAAAAGCAGAATATTGTCCATATACAGGGTGTCTCAAAAAACTTATACACACACTGCTTTACAGATTTTCATGGAGATCGCATGCATGCTTGTATTACAAAAGCAACATTGTCCACACTTGTGTTAGACCCCACACATCAACAAGTGAGGATAATGTTGCTGTGTAACATAAACTTACTGTGTACACATGTTAAGGCTTTAGTTGTGGTGTTTTAATTTAATCATATGTTTTGTGATGTAAGTTTTCATGAAATCTAATTCCTGTTTAACTTTATTATATGAAAATGAGTATATGCCCACAATTCCATAACTTGTGTGCATTTGAGAACCACAGGCACAACAGGATAATGATTGGACAATCTCAAGATGTTAGTTTCCTTCAACACTAGAGGAAGCTGCTACACTATAGTTGACTTACCAGGGTCACCCACATCATGAGGAACAGCATTGGCTAACTTCCTAACTCCTTTATTTCCATGGAAAAGGTGTGTGCGAGGTGTGAGGTCGGCGGATGTTGTCCACTGAGCCATGTCATACTGAAGCGACTTCTGAAGCTGGGGCCAGAGCATCACTAATGCCCAGGAAGCATAAAAGTGCACATCATAGGTGTTGTACATGCGATATTCATGACTCTCCAGATATGCAAATCGACCATATTCAACACTGAAAGAACAAGACTTAGTGAATTTATCAACAACTAAAACTCTATAATTAAGTAATGGCTTTATATACAATCAACTGACAAAAAAAACACAGTGTAATATACCGTGAATCGTATGACGGTAAAGAAGCGTTTAAATCTTGTGGCATCTCCAACCAGACTGATCCACCATCTGATATGAAGTAAAGCTCATTGAACACAGCACTCTTAAACCAGTCTGGTAATCCTCTGAAAGATAAAATTACTGTAGTCATTGTAAACTCTATATTTAGTGACTACAGGTGAAAGACGGTAAGAAACGAAGTACAAAGGGTACTTCACGAGGCATTCTGTATAAGACTGAACACTTTTTGAATGGACAATACCTTTCAAATGGTTTTGGTTAGGTTAGGAATGAAGCAAACCAATTTAATTTAAGCTAGTGTATGGATTTTTTGTAATCTATTTTCAGCAACCAGGTTTTTTTTATTAAACCATCTTCATTCTTTGTAAAATTGGTGGCTCTTTCACAAAACACAAAAAAAAATTGAGGAAAGAAGAAATAAGAATTATATTTGATGATGTGAACTAATGCACTATAGTTTTCAACACAAACAACTTACATTTTACATTGTTGAAACCATAAATAGGATATGGGAAATAACAAGGCTGATAGATTGGAATATTGAGAATATTTTCCAAAATGGTTCCATTTCTTTTTAGCTTTAGCCATTACATTTATTATATATATTTTTTTTTATTCCATTGGTTTAGTGAGTGTCTAGGTATGTTATGGTTATTTTAGAATTTTACTAGCATATACAGTTTGGCTGTAAGCAATTTTAGAATAAAAAATCCATCCCCAGCAGTTCACACACAAACAACAGTTACAAATCTGAATCAATGACAAATAGAAAACTAAACTCAAAAACAACTTGTAAAAAATATTAAATACTTTCTAAATAATTTTACAGACAAATATTACTGCACAATGGAGGGCAGGATTATATGAGAGGGACAACGTGAGGAAATTTAAAAGGAAGTGCACAGCACAATCTCACGGTACTACTGAGGGACTACCAAGTGCTGAAGCCTCGCCCTAGGAGGGGTTGCCATACATCTAATTAGTGTTGGATTACCATGAGAGACTAAGGTTCAAGGAGTAACTCGCCAAAAATCTTAAACGTCAATCAGAATTACTCGATTCTGGGTAATTTTAGTCTCTTAAGTGACATAATTACTGTACGTGCCAGTGCTAATTGATAATGATTTAATCAAGACTGCGCCATGGAGCACGAGAGAATTAATCAGCAACTACTGTTGTATCTGTTAGTGGTACAGTGGTAGCAAGAGTATCCTCACTACCATGTTCTGGGATCAATCCCTGGCTCGGGACAGATGTGAGAAGGGTGTTAGCCAGCGTGACTCTACCATAAATGGCAGATTTTCTCCGGTAGCTACTGAAGTTTCCTCCTGCACTATCATTGGACAATAAAGGTCATAACAAAATTACAAAAATCAGACCAAACACCCTAACAGCTAGTGAAATAAGTGGTGATATGATAAGTAAATAAAAAATAGCATCTCATCCTACACACATAAGCATTCACACGATCTCCACAAAAATCTGTAAGGCAGTGTGTGTGCCGGGTACATTTTTTTAGATGTTTTATTTTCTAATGATACAAAGGTACAGAGTTTATTAATCTTACTTGTCCTGAAGGATGGGGTTTTGCCAGGCCTCTATGTCATCCTCCCATTGTTTATAGTGGTACAGGGCATAAGCAGCCATTTCCTGCGCTGCTGTTTGTTCATCACCAAACCAACGAGTATAACGTCTGTTGGATATGGAGCAAAATTTAGCCAGGCATTTATAAACATTCCCACACAAAGGCTGATAAAATTGTCCTCAAACATAACTACATATTGTATACAACATCTCATTCCTTGAACACAGTGGAAGTAAACATTTAGAAAATGAAGTGATCACCCCCTCTGAAGAATTAGTTTGGAAGGCAAGTGTAGAAATAAATAACACTGTTTGAAGAAGTCATCTAATATCATCCAGCTGGAATACTGTATAAATGTACAAAAGTTGCAAAGAATCAATGAAAAACAAAACTTCTTCTCAATACCATAATATTTCTCCCTTGAGGGGTGTTGGTGTGCCTCTCACCATTGCTGTCTGGGTTCAATCCCTAGGCCAGGACAGAAGTGAGAATAGTTTTATCTGGTGTGACACTACCAAACATGGCAGGTTTTCTCCAGTTACCGTACTCTAGCTTCCTCCTGCACAGTGAACCTTCAATTGTCTGGACTAACTGGGGGGAGGCAGGGATCTGCATTAGCAAAAATTCCAGACTATTGAAATCCAGTACATACAGGTGTTTATAAAAAGACTCCCACTTGACACTTCCAATAACCTTGGGAATTTGCAGTTGCCTTTTATTCTAATAACAATTTTCAAGCCATATTTAAATATTACTTCCTTTAAACAACCTTTGAGCTATTATTAAAATTCTTTACAAACTAATTATGGAAGAGAGAAAAGATATTTAGCAAATGAGAATGATAGCAACAATTACTGTACTTCTGTATCTGTCCACCACAGTGGTATTCAAGATATACATGAATAAGACAAAGGTTTGTGAACACTTACTTAAATCTCCTCACTGGTGGCAGATAAACAACAACCACCAGGGTCCCAAAGACTGAGGGATTGCTATAGTGTACTAACATTGAATAATGAAGTTTATAAAAAAGTAACAAAGAACAGACCAACTGCCCAAACAACTAGTAAACTGGAATGTAGTGAAATGAAAAATAAAAGTTTTAATGTCTAAAACTAAGAACTGTACTGTATACATGCAAAGTACCATCTTACCATTTTCCATCATCCCATAGGAAGATATAATGAGGGAGCCTTAATGTACCTGGGATGGGCACGCACGCGCACGCATGCGCACACACGCACACACACACACACACACAAAAAAGCCATTCCTCCCTAAAATGAACCTTATGAATTCTTATGTTATTGAACCTCCCTTAACTTCACCAAGACCCAAATGGAGGCATCTTTTATAGTACATGTAAATAATATAAGGCTCAATGGAAGTGCTTTAAACAGAGGAATTCATGGCACAGGTGAGAGTACATACATCAGAGACTGACAGCCAGACAAAAAGATCTGTATATATAAGAGAAGTAAGGCTACTGATGGCACTGTAGGCATGTGATGATAAAAAAAATTGAGGCATATAGTTTGTGCTTTAATACTGCAATAAAAAATAGTGTAAGAGTTACAGTGTTTGCTGTATGAAATGGCCTTTCTTAAGTCAAGTGATGGTTGGAGGTGTACGAGCACATGCAAGAACTATATGTTAATAAATGGACTGAGCATAATTAAAAGAACATGACAGGTCAAATCCAACTTAAGGATTTTCACATATGAAATTAAATTTTCTCCATGAAATTAATTTACAGATGAAAATTCCAGCATCACAGAAGTTCTTTTTTCTTTTTTTTTTCATAACTTCAGAAGAGAAACAGACATCTAGGAGTGTCCTGTACTGAATGAGGACAGTAAGCAGTGTTGACCAAATAAGGGAACCAGAAATTAATTAAAATTCTGAGTGATTCTACTTTGCTTCTACCCCAGCACAGAGCACATAAGGGCTCAGCACAAGAGGAGAATGTTACTGACAATGAAGCTACACCAGACAAAGATGGGAAATATAAAAACGACTTAAAAATATATTTAAAATCATTTGATTGCCTGTTGGAGATTTTTTTTCATGTGAATGTATCTCCAAATTAATATTGGTACAGTAGTCAGTGGGAAAACCCACTTCAAATTACGGGTTTTCAATTTACAAAAAAATATAAATTGAGACGCTACCCTTCCATAAACTGAGGTCAACCTGCAGTTTAATTGGTAATCCAACTGAGTATAAACACTGTGTACAGACATGAGCACATGTATACATTCTTACCTGGTGTGTGTTACTCCTCTGCTCTTGAACACAATTTGGGGCATATCCCAGGTGAGGACCATCTCTATCATTCCTGAGCTATTTGCACTAATACTACATTTTCCACACACTGCAACTGCTCTTTCTTCACCCTTCCCTATGAAGCATAGGAAAATAAAGATAATTTACATATTGAGAATTAAACAAAAAATCTAGAGCCATGTCTAATGAGCCATTAGCAACATCTTTTTGATGTGCCTTGTCTATAAGCAGTGGGCATAAAATTTGATCTTTGTCCAAGTGTACTATACATTTCAGAACTTTGTCCCAAGTAGTTACTGTATCTGTAAGTCTGCAGTTTTAACAAATCTGGTTTATTCAATTTTCAGATACTTTGGTGATATACTGTACAAATAGCGACAGAACCAAACACAAGACCACGTACTGCCAGGCCTTGTGAATAACTAGGGATTATATCCAAGACTATCTATATTACAGGTGTGTAGAGAGGCAAAGTGTACTGGTATGAGTCATTGTGGTGTGAATGATATTCTTTACTTAGAAGAGGTATATCATGTGTTAACATAACTGTACTGCAACAACCATTGTAACATAGAGACAAAGAGATTGGGAACCTACTTGTCTTGGTTAATGGTACATCTCTTGGATCCAACTCCCCGTCCAACTTCAGGTCATTCCAAACAGTGTCACCCGGCCCTAGTGGGTCAAATCCCGGACAGTTTGATACCGAGACCCCAGGCTGTAAGCAATTAAGACATTTAGTTTTTTTTTTCTTCTATTATTTCATCAAAAAAGAAGTTAATGATGATTCTGGTAAGATGTAGTACAGTACCTACAAAAAAAGCTTTAATATCCAACATTAATAAACCAAAAAGCCTCTGTACCTGAAATGGTCAATGTATTATAGCAACTGGTAGCCATACTGCTTGATCCAGCTTCTTACAAGTTCATACAACTACAATAGAGTGTGTTGTTATAAATTATTTGGATATACAAGTACTGTACATCATGTAGTTAGGGTGTGAAACACAGGACAAACATATCATCAGGAAACAGATAGTTTGTATCTCTTACCAATATTTCCTACTGTTTAGAACGGGTCATCAAAAAGTTATTGGTCGCGTGATAAAACCCAAATTCTCAAGCACCTGGGGGGCCAAGAGGAATGCCCAAACATCTTTACAGTGTGTCTGTCTGTCCATGGTTTTTCAAGGGTTTTGCAAAGTAAAAAATATACCCCCAATGGGTAAGTCGAGAGGAAAAATATTTCATTATCATATAAATGTACAGTAATGGGATTTCTGCTGCTAGATTTTTTTGTTCAAACTCACAATATCAGAGTCCAACATTACACATGTCTGAACCTTGCTTGGTGTTAGTTTCAAGGTGATGTAGACAATATAAGACAGAATGAGGATTGACAGACAGGCTAACAGTTTTCCCATAACCTCAAGCAAAAACTTATGAAATAAAACATTCTTATTAACAACCGATATAAATCCATTGTGTCAATAAAAGTCATCAAGCAGAAACAAAACTTGTCACTGAGGGAAAACATCACTGATTTATCCCCTGAACTTTGGGGTGAAATAAAGCAATTAATGTCAATGTGATATAATACCATTTGTGTTAAAACAAAAGGGGAAAAATAATGTGGAAACATCTGAAGATTTTGAAGAAAACAAAAACAAAACACTATAATTATTAACTATGTGACATATGAACTGTTACTTGCGCTTTAAAACAAAAGTAAATTAATATGATAAAGATCTACAAAATATATTGTAAACACTAACCTGTTCTTTAACAGCTAAACAGTAACGGAGATTTACACTTCTGAGTGTCTGATGCAACACAACACCTTTAGCCTTAGTGTCTTCATGCACACGTTCAAACACTTCACTCCAACACTCACCTGAAAACAAAGTAACCATCTTAAAAATTATTAAGTAAAGGAGTTGGAATACAAGATAATTTCTAAATGTTAGATGCAGAACCTGAGAGTCGGAAGGGTAATGTAAAATATAAAAAGGAGTCTACCATGGGAAAAAGTTCTCATATTGAAAGTCAAGCAATTTGTGCTACTGCATTTTACTAAAATGTTGGTTGTTATGGAAGGGTTACTGATGTAAATTTCTCAAGAGATAGATCAGGCACCAAAACTTCATTGAAAACAGAATAATTAACTTGTAATACAACTCCAGAGAGAGCAGTACTTGTGAAACAAATAGCATTCTGGCTAATGTTTGTTATATATAAGACAATGAAATCCCTCATAACTCAAGTGTATTTCTCCAAAATCATCAATTCTTGTAACCCTAAAACAGTGGCCACCATCAGTGTAGGGGAAGAGGCCACTATCAGTGGACATTTCATGTTCCTTGTGCTCCATTTCTGTAGCTATGGGTGTGGAGTAGCCTAGCGATGCCCACACTTTATGTTTTAACCCCCAGACACCATGCTATATTTGGCATATGTCCCATCTTCAAAACTACAGTTTTGAAGAGATGAGTGTTGAAATTGAGCCTGGAGATGAGCAGAAAGGTGGAGTTTGGGATTTTACTTTGAAATTGGTTCACCTGGAAAACAGCAGCCTTTAACAGGGGCTGTTCTAATGTACCTGTATAGTGTAACAAGGGAGATTCCATTGTACTACATAACAAGGAGAGTTCTAGTGTACAGTATATATCTTATGGGTCATTAGTTTCCTTCCTTCAGCTATAAAATGGCAGTTCAGCAATCTGCTTTCCATTTATCTCCTCTGAAAATTTTCTTACTTAAACACCTACCATTTTTATCTTCACTTCCTCCAGTTCCATTCTTGAAAGTGAATGCAATTGATACATCTCTTGGTTCCGAGTTGTGATTTTCTATATTCCACACAAACACACCAATAGGTAAACACGAGTCCTGAAACACAGCATAAAAGTTACTTCACTGGAATTTTATCATTTTCAAGGAAGCAAAAGTTTTAAAACAATCTATCATATTGAGTGCTTTAAGACAAATGGCTGGTTGTGTCTAGAGGTGCTGTGCTGCTGCTCAGTGGCTGTATAATGTGAGGTTATATAACCACTGAAACTAGGAACCTGGGTCTTGGTATAACAAACATTATTATTTAATGTCACAAGATGAATCATGTACTTCCATCTCGGTCTGTTTAATTTTACTGTCAAGCTGTCAGCAAAATAAACATCCCTCAGGAGGTGCTGGATCAGTGCTCTGGCATCCCTGCATATAAGAAGCATCAGTTTATTAAATGCAACACAATCATAAAATGAAATATTTTGGTGAATATACAGTAGTACTTTAAAGAACTGAAACTAACCTTATAATTGTGAGGTATTACAGGTGAAATCTGACGACATATTAGTCTAATGCTCTGCTCTTTAATATTATAGACCGTCCATGAGCGAGGGTAGAGACCACAGTAGAGGCCATCTGCACCACTGAAGCCCCAGTCCCATGATCCAAGGCCCTTCTTGGATTTACTGAAAGAAAATAAATCAAAGTTATCCACATTGTTCATATGGACAGATGGTAGTGTGACAGTGAAGGAAACATGGCTAAGAGATGGAGGTCGATTCCTGAAGTTTCGTCACTACTTTTCCTTTGTAAAAGTCTAGTGATAAAAGGTCAGGAATAAAGCTCCATCTCTTAGTCATGTTTCCTTCACTACCACACTACCAAACTTTTCCAGTTTTAATATTATATAGCTTCTTATAAGACTGACTGGTTATAAGGTCAGCACCTTAACCAAGTTCCTAAAAATGCAAAAAAAATTAACCACAATATAATATTTACTTGGAATACAGGACTCAAAAGCTTGCTTGCTTACTTGTTAGTTTTGAGGCTGGCCAAAGAAGAATATTAAAACTTGATGTAAGCATAAGACTTGTTTGTTGCACTGTAATGTATTTACTTGTGAATGAAGCATCAAGACATTCACCAACCTAAACTTTTGGGTAGTCTAGGATTCCTGGGTTGATATTCCAAAAGTTCCACTGAAGTGTTTGTTGTTAATACATTGTTCCATTATGAGGAGTTAAGACACATGACTACTGCCATGCCACAATTAGTGGTTATTTAATCCACACATCCTACTTACACTAAAGGTACTTGAGATGATTAACTAGGTCCAAGACTTGTTAAGCACCTCATTAAATAAACCCCTTCCTTTGACAAGATCCAATGGATGGAAATGTTGTAAAACCACAGGGATGTTGATGTAATAATGTGTTGCTGCACTTCAACTAGAAAGCATTTTTAAGCACGGAACAAGGTTAGTAGTTACACTAGACCATCAACAATTAAAAAATATGAGAGATAGAACTCTGCATACACACAAACACTATCCCCTGCCTCAGACAACCTGTTCCTCCATGAAGAAAACCACCAACGAGTTACCCAATAATCGAGGCATTTAGGAAATCGAGGGCACGACTTCTACAGTACCACAAAAAACATGAATGTTAAAAAAAATCTAATAAAACCAAAAATAAAAAAAAATAAAAAATATTTCTCATCATGGGTGGTGAGTTGTGAGACTGTGAAGTGTAACTGGCATCTGCTGAGTGCTGATTGTTATTGTTGTGATGCAAGAGGTGGTTATAGCGACAAACAACATGGTTGTGGTGGTGCAAAGTGAGTGGTGAGCCAAGCTGTGGCATTGTAAGTGTGAGTGAGGGGCCAAATTAATTTGAGGCTCCACCAACCTTGTGTCTTACTCTAGTGTCTACCAATCACCGAATTTCCATTCTTAGTATGATTCTTGGCTCACAGCTTTAAATTCGCAGCACCAAATGCCAATCATCTTAATACGACGATTCTGTTTTTGCCATAAATCAACGGCCCATAATGCGTGTGTCAACACAGCTGCCATTCCATACAGTCCACCCAGATTAACCCTGTGATTACCACATCTAATACAGTGATATCTCCGTTACCTGGATCAATTGGTGCAGAGCACTTCCAGGAATGAGAGATTTACGGGTAACGAGATGACTCTCTCAAAGCCGGAAAAAAAATCCCTTCTCCCCAGAATTTTCCGGGTAACGGAAAAATTTTCTCGGAAGTTCCAGGAATTGCCCACTACATCATCTCTCGAACATAAAAAAATATCCCTCATCCCCGGAATTTTCCGGGTAACGGTAAATTTTTCTCAGAATTTCCAGAAAATGCGCCTGATTTTCATCTCTCAAATCCGAAAATAACTCCCCCATCCCCAGAATTTTTTGGGTATCGGGAAATTTTTATCAGAATTTTCAGGAAAATTCTGGCTTGGGAAACGATTTTCGGAGAAAATTTCTATTCTGGCTATTGGAGAGTTCCGGGTTTGAGGGATTCCGGGTGATGGAGATATTACTGGCAAAGTTAGAGAAAAGTAGCCCCCAGGCTGGAATGATAACGATGCCCTTATTTCTCTAAGTTTATTTTAAAAAGTGGTACAGCTCTTCCTACCACCACATAAGTAAGGAGACTGTGCCATAGGTCTATCATTCTGAGTGAGAGAGAACTTTCTTGTATCAGTTTCGTATGATATGTTGGCTTTGAGATCTATCGCTGCATGCTGTGTTCGAAGAGTTGTCAGACCTTTAGGTTTATTACATCAAGAAGAAATCTACAGGGTATCTCAGAAAATTTATTACCCACTGCCCTACAGATTTTCGGGTGAATGCTTGTATTACAACAGTAACATTGTCCTCAATTATGGAAGACCCCGCACATCAACAAATGAAGGCAAAGTTGTTGTTGTAATACAATCATTCACATGATTAAAATGCTACAAAACATGTTTTTAATGAACAGTTTTGGTGTACACAGTGATTATAAGTCTTTTTTTTTTTTATTGGGCACTCCCCTACATCCTTGTGTAAGGAGAAGCGCAGAAGCGTTTACAGCGCCCAACAGGGAAGCATGCTAAGTTTATGTTTGCCTTTATGTCTCATGAGTTAAGGGAGTAGAAGCCTGAAGAGTCAAGGGCGTAGTAGCCTGAAGAGTCAGTGGTTTATATCATCAAGTTATTGGAAGCTCCAACAACTCCCTGAATACGAACTCGCAACTTTCGACTTACAATAGGTACCTACTTTACTGCTAGGTGAACAGGGACTAATGGGGGCTAGGAAGTAAGTCCAAACAACTTCCTCCGGCCCGGGAATCGAACCCGTGACATCTCGCTTGCAAGGCAAGAACGGTACCGCTTCTACTACCGGTCCCCCCATTATAAGTCATTAATAAACACAAGTGAAATACATCAATAATTTTATACCTGTACTTACAAAAAACCAGACAAGGTTTGAAACAAAGTGAACAGTATGAAATGCTAAGCCAGCAGTTCTTATCCTTATTGGAGCTGGTCCCCCTATGATCAACCTTGACTCCATGCCACCATCAAGTCCTCTTCATTTTCCAACAGTAATATGGTCAGTAAGAAAATGTAATGATTATGGAACTGCCCTCCAGTAATTCATTTTAGCTCATGACAGCTTATTAATACTGTACTGTACTATCATGTAACAACAACCAGGTCAGAGAGTAAAAATGACTACCGTGATATATAATTAGGATGGGGGTGTTGGTGTACCCTGCACAGCGGTAACACACTTACCCCCTCACTACTGTACTGTGTCCAGGGCCTGGGCAGATGTGAGAGCGTTATCCAGTTTGACATTACCAAACATGGCAAGTTTTCTCTGGTGTACTCAGATTTCCTCCTGTACTAACACTGGACACTAAAAGTCATAACAGAGTAACAAAGAAGAGACCAACTGCCCAAATGGCTAGGAAGCTAATAAGTGGTGACAATAATTAAGTCAGAGTGTAAATATGACTATGTTACGGGATACATCCACTCCCATTTACCTGTGTGTTGATAATACTTTCTGGTAGAGTGTGTGTCCTTTCGGATCACGGATTGTCACAATGAACTGATTTGCCATCACTGTTTGGTACTCATAGATGCCAGGGACCATTTGATATCGACAAAATTCTCCACGGAATCCACGACCAATTGTACCAGAGCCAATGCCACCCAATGGAACTCCTAAAAGAAAATTATGCAATATTAAATACTGTAAACATAAATCTTCAAATTTGGTAATGGTAAAAATATCATTTAAATTAATCTTAGAAAACTTTATGATTCTCAAATATAAGTTGACTTATCTTTGCACAAACAAACCAGAGAGTAAAGATAGGAAAACTCAAATTATGGCTGAGAAATTACTACCTGGGACCTTAGATAAACTAACTCATAGACGAACACGTGCTCACCGATCAACGTAGAGATGGTGCTGGTCGTCTATTTGTTTACGCCATGGCAGCAGTGACCCACAAATTGCCAATGTATAGTCTACTGTTACATTAACCTAAATGGCCATGTCAAGATGTCCACGTCAACTTTGTATGTTGGCCTGGCTTATGGATTCAGCCACAACTTTTTATGGATATAAAATGACTAATGTATACTACGTATTTATACACCCTGTATATAAATTGGAATTAATGATTGTATTGTGAAACCCGAAAAAAGACAACTTTGCAAAGAATAGAGAGCTGCCCATATATGATACGGTTCATGGGGACTAGTAAATAATACTGTACTGTATAACATAAAAATGAATCAGTATCTCTTCATTAAACTTACCATAATTTTCTGCTCGCTTAATAAATGGTGATATTTCGGAAGTACCTGGCATCCTTTTGGTGCACAACGGCTTCAGTTCGATTCAGCCGAGTTTTCCTATCTATACTCTATGGTCTTTGAATATGAGGGGGTGAAGCGACACCCCGGTCAAAATGCGTTTTTGGATGGATATCATTATTTCACCGTTCCTACATGTTGGCGTTGGATGTAACCCTCTAGCTAGAATAGAAATATGGTAGAAAGTCCTTCAAAAATAAGGTGTGATTTTGCCTCAGGCCTGGAGCTATGTATCTGGCTGTGAGCTCAGTTCCAAAAAGTGGCAACATACCGTTCGGAGCAAGAGGAGCGTGAGCCGATGACAGTGCACCTCCCTCGGACCATATCCCCCGAGGTAGCCAATCACAATGGATTTCCCCTTGCTACGTCACAGCTCCTCGGCCAACCCGCACGCCCAGATGCTGTCTCCTCCTCAGTTTTCGCGCGTATTTTAGCATCAGGAGGTTAAGTGTACGTTCTACTGTTATTTTTTATAACTTTTCGGTGTAACATTGACGTTATTCGTGTTCCACGGGTGTGAGAAGTGCTTTGCAATGTCTGACCGATATTAGAGCAAGACTCGAGTGAGGCCAGGCCTTTTGTTGTGCGTTCAGGAGCCCATTATTCCTGAGCGTGTGGTTGACGCCAATGCTCACGTGGACACCCCAGTAATGCTTGGTGATAGTGATTTTGGCGTTGAATTTAGTGTTGATTATGGTGATACAAGTGCTACTGGCGATGGTGCAGGTGATGTGCATGATTGTAGAAAAAAAACATACATCACGTTATGAACCATCGGAAGATCTTTTTAGAGACTATGATGACTTACCTGTCGACAAAGAAAGTGACTCACAGCATGATGTAAGTGATTATCATACTGACAATAACACTTTGAACGAACAGAATAACTTTTTAGAGTGCTACAAAGCATCCAAAGATCTTTTTGCCAACCATGACGAGTTAAAAGACAATGTGGCATGCATTGACGATGATAATGACGGTGAAAGTGAGCTTGAAATAGATGAAACTGACTCTACTCATAATACAAAAAGTGACTGCTATGCATCACAAGAACTTTTTGCAGACTGTGATCAAGTACAGAGTTACGTGACATGCACTGACGGCAATAATGACGATGAAAGTGAAGATGAAAATGATGAAAGTGTGTCTAATGGTAACACAAACAGTGACACTAATGTATCACAACAAGAACTACAGACTATGGGGGGTAGAAGTGGACAGTGCCGAGACTAGCATTGACTTTGATAGTGATGAAAGTGAGCCTGACCCAACGAATGCTAGTGAAAGTGAGCCCATACCTCAGTCTTATAATGAAACTGGACTGTTGCCGGCATCAATAATCAATGATTTAGTCGATGAAGAATCTGTGTGGCGATTTTTAGAGAGGGCAGAGAAAGACTTCGATCAGTAAGTGATTGATTATGACGAGGCCATTAAAATTATACGGACTCCTCAGGATTTACGTAATTTCAAGTTGCTACGATCTTCAGGGATAATAAAACGAAGGAACTAAACAGAGTAAGATTGTAATACTATTTTCATAATACTGTTTTTACCAAAGATTATACAAACTTTCTCCACCTTTGTATTTATGTTAATTATGTTGGGAGGGGGGAGGTTAATGGTGGGGGTATGAGTGTAGTGGTGTTTCCTTATTATTACACACTATTATACTTAACAATATTATAAATATTTGTCCAATAAAAGGGTACGGAAAGATAAATATTGATAGGCAAATGAGTTTTTTGTTATTATTTCATTTGGGGGGGTTATGGGGGGGGTGTAAGACGAGTGCTGTTTTTGGTAATCATTAACTTGTTTTACAGCATTGGCCCACAATAAGAACAACATTTTGCAGAAAACGTGATTATTGTTGGTTTGAAGCTCAAACAGCTGTACATCACGGGTAGTTATTCCCATTCAACTCGTGATAAAATAATAACTATCCACAGTACTGTACTAACTACTAGTTTTCACACTTCGCTAGGAGAGCGATGACCTTGACAATAAAAGAGAGGATTTTTTTTATTTTCCATGTTGCCCAGCTCCTAAATGATCATTAAAGTAAAAGGTAATTTTATGACAGAGGAGTTGGGAAGTCTTCAGACCTTAAACCATATTTCTTGTGTTATATAATAATTGAGATGCCTTGTACAGGGTGTTTCAGAAAATTTTTACAAACTATAATGCATATTTTCCTGGAGATTACACAAATATTTGCATTACAACAGCAACACTGTCTTCCCCTGCTGATGTGCGAGGTCCCTTACAAGCGAGGACAAAGATGCTGTCGTAATTCCTGAGATCTCCGTGAAAGTCTGTATGGCAGTGTGAATACATTTTTCTGAGACACCCTGTTTATATATATTTCATAGTTTTTTTTATATGATTTCCCCAAATTCTGTATGTCAAACTCCATCCTTCTCCTAACTCTGCACTAAATTCCAGACCATCAAACACCACGTCAAAGCCATCTACTGCCTCTTGCTGTTCCAATTTGTCCTCCACACAAAATCACTCCAAACAATGACTACTGTTCATGCCATCATCCAGCTCCAGCATTAATCCAGTCCCAGTTACCATGGTCTTCGTTTCCCTCACCAATTCATCCATGTACTGTGTGACGAACAACCACAGAGACATCCATCCCAGTCTCAACCTACTCTCCCACACCTAAAGGCTCTAACTGACCATCCAGGTACTGTATCTTCACACACACATGTCTTACTACTGTACTCTTACTGAACCATTTCACTGTAATCAAATTTATTTCCTCTTAGTCTATACATCCTCATCACCTGCCATAATGCCTCATGATCCACGATGAAAAAAATATATATTAGTGTAGTACCTGTATTCACCTTTACATACATGAAGGAGCCTATAACAACATGTAATAATATGAAGAGATGGAAAGAGAGAAGCACGACATGAGTTGTTATATTTCCTGCCTTATTATATGCCAAGCCATATTAGACACATCCCTAATTCAACAAGGAATATCTAAGACAAAAATACAATAATGTATTTCTCAAGCATGCGAAGTTCCATTTCGATAAAAATTTGCAAAATCTGAAATTGCATAAAATGAACGATGATTCGTATACTGTACAGCACAGTATTGTAGTGTAAAAAATAACAATGTGTTCAACAACCTATACAGTACTCAAATTCCTCAGATCTATTTCTACCACCAAATCTTGACATTCAGGAACTAATTATCAATTAATGTAAAAAAATTATATAAAGCAACATATCAAATAAAAACAATAGCAACTCCTGCATGCCTTCATTAAAAAAACAATTTGTTGCAAAAACTGAGTTTATTCAAAACAAACCCACCAGATATTCAAACATTAATCTGTGGAATATTAAGCCAAGTTATTGCTCTGTGGGAGGGGGCGGACTTGTGGATGGCAGGCTATAAGAGGCTTAATGTGCACTAAATTTAAGGTGTTTATTGTAAAGCATTTTAGATGCATGCAATAGCCAACTAGTTCGCTATTCCCTGACAGGCATTAAAAAATACGACATTATATCAATAAAATTAGGAGGACTGTTATTTGGAGACAATACGGAAAGAATTAGTGAAGAAAATTTATAGAAAATTATGGAATGAAAGACAAAAAAAGGAAAAAAAGTCAATCAGTCAACAATAAATAAGAATAACACAAAAAATCGGGCCCGTTGTAAAGGTAATTTCTCCCAGACTCTGAAACCACACGTAACAACCAGAGCAGCTGCTCCACTGACCACTACGCTTCTTCTCTCCCGGCTAAGTGTTCGCATATTTATACAAGAAATACGACAAATTTCAGGTTCATCTAAGTCTTAACTTTTGCACTTACAGAACTGTAATCAACTTGTTCACCTTTATTTAAAGTATCTTATGAGTAATGATATTAAGGTTTCAATCATATTTGAGTAATTATCAATATTGTTACACCAACGTCACCAACGGCTAATGAAATCGGACAGCACCCACTTAAAAACTGACGGAGTCAAAACAGGTTTCAGCTAGGTGCAATCCTTTTAAATTCTTTCATGCCATACACTTTGTTTTAGGTCCTATCCAATACAGTATACAGTACTACCGTATATAGAATTATTTTTATTATTATATCACTGTTTTTTATTGCCTTACATGTCCCCAACTCTTCAATATTAATCAAAACATTCTCCATAAGCGGCCATGATCCAAGTATTTACACACTGTTTCAGTGGGAGAAACTTGCTGATTGGTTTTTAGCAATTCGGGCACTGCACATGCTAACACCTAATCAAGGCATTTGTTTTTCCCGCTCAAGAAGCATCTGCGCAGACAGAATAGCAAACGCGTTAGCTATTCCGTGCATTTAAAACACCTTTAATACAGCAGCCATGTGATAACTTGCACCAGCTCACGAGAAGGCAGATTAGCCTTTGTAATGGGCAGAAAAGTATTGTAAATACCTTCACACATACAGTACAGGTAGATTCACCCTGTGCAGGCAATAATATAATTAAGTCATAGTTTCAAGGGCGAAGGACTTTTACAACTGCAATTTTTCATTTGTTTTCTTTGTTTAATAATTTCTGCTCATATATGGTTCATTCTGGGGTTGTCTAGGTATCAGTGCATGAAATGGGGAAGTCTAGATTTTAGTGTAGTACAGTACACTGGTGATCATATCAGCAAGTGTTGCTACAGTGTGTGCAGGTGGCCAAGGATAATAATTATCAGTTTCATGATCCAACAACTCTTATTACCATAATATTACTCCTTGCAGTAAGATAAAAGTTAGACTAAAGATTCTGTCTTATTGATTATATTCACACATACCATAGTCGGTGGGCCTAACGCTCAAAACTGGAGGCCGAGATACCACCAGGAGGAACTAATGTTATCATATACCATTAGGAAGCTTAATATATCTACTTTTCAAAACTGTATGATATCAGTGTCATAGATACAGCTTAAGTGGAGAAAATTCATATTAAAGAAGGGTACCCAAACGACTTACATGGGCAGTTTGAAGTCACAAGTCATGTAGCTATAACCTGCCTTTTACCATATTTATGCCTTGTATTTGTGATTTCAGAGATACAGTCATGCACTTCCCATCTTGTAGATAATAAATATGCCGTACTCGTATATCTATCCACAGTAATTTACAATAATTATACATCATAATGTACCCATGCTGTTAGCCATATTGGTTTCTTCTGCATACAATGATGTCCTTCAATTAAAATCTCCGTGATATGATAGGCCTCACGTCTTCCGACTGTGATCATGCTGATCTCACAGTCAAAGACAAAGCTGATGCTGATGCAGTAGTTAACATGCTGGGAAATAACTGGATAAATTCATTTGACCAGGTGACAGATCTCGTCAGTTTATCAACTGGTGTTGCTGCTCCTAAAGATGTGGTATATGATATTATGCATGCCAGAGAATTGGGTGAAAATGGCTATCAAGATTTCAAAGAGAAAAGGCTTCAGAACAGTGCTGAACAACAGGACTTTAACAGCAGAATTAAAAAGCTAAACCTGAAGAAATTTTCTGATCTCAAAAAGAAAACAAAGGCAGTAAAAGTGCAGGGAAAAGAAGTGATATTGAAAGCAGATAGGAATCTCTTCAGCAACATGATCCACTTGGGCCTCTTCCTTGGTCCATTGCTGATCCAGAAGATCATCCATGCAAAACGAATAAATCTGCATTAAGTAGAAAAGTAGAAAAAAATATTCCATAGGCAGAAATGTTACCAAAACCTCGGGCTTGCATCATTGATGCTATGGCACTTGTTCATACTGTCACCGGTGACAAGAAAACATGCAAAGACATTGCAGACTCTATGCTGGCTATGAGTCTCAGGGAAGGTTAAGGATGTAGGAGAATGGATGTGGTATTTGATGTGTACAAGCCAGTGTCTATTAAGTATGAAGAGTGAGAATATAGGGCTGGAGATTCAGAAGTTCTGATTTACAAACATATCTCTCAAGGCACCAAGATCATGCAATGGGCAAACTTTCTTCATGGCGCAACAAACAAAAAGAACCTTATAACATTTCTCGTTTCTCAGTGGAAAGAATCTACTGTAGGTGCAGGAGGAAACTTGCAGAAAGCAATACAATCATGTATGTTGCATGTGAGGAAGATTGTGTAAAAATAACAGCAGAAAAAGTTGAGAACTGGTGGATGAATTGAAATGTACACGAGAGGAAGCCGATACGAGAATTATCTTACATGCCTCACACATACCTAATTTTGCATATGAGGCAATAGTTATTATTTCCAAAGACACTGATGTTTGAATGTTGTGCTTAGCTTTTGCCTCTGAAATATCTACACCACTGTATCAAGTGTGCACAACAAAGACCAGAACACGGTACATAAGTATCAACCAAATGGCACAGGCTCTCGGATCCTCTGTATGCAAAGCTATCCTTGGAATGTTCACACACTATGGGAGCCTCTGGCTCTTAAAAACACTATCTCTGGTTACTGCACAAAAGAGAGTTGTACGGACAATGACCTACTTGAAAAAACAGATCACACAAACGAGAAATTTGCTATATTGAAAATTTTAAAATTTGAAGATATTAACACCTACTGCTGTGCCCTCCTTGTTTACAAATCTATCAATCACTTGCTTGACAATAATTATTTCCAGTTCCGGAATAATCAGAGATACAACTTATGGCACCCAGAGCTACTAAGACCCCCCCCCCCCCCAGTGCGCTCCTCTCAGTCCCAGACCTCCATAAAATATCACGGTGTGAAGGTGTGGAACAACTTACCCCCACCCATCCCAGCAAAGACTATGCTTTCTTCCTTTAAATCATCTCTTAAAAAATATCTATTGTCTAAGTATTAATATTTCTTGTAACACCTACTATATTTACAGTACTGTACCGTTTTATCGGAAATTATCAACTCCCAGCCTCTTATATGCTGTATATACTGTAGTACACCACAAAAAAATAACCCAGGAGTCAAAAGTTAAAATGTCAACTCACCGTACATCTGTTTGCCGTGCATCATGGTAATGCAATCAATCCAAGGCTTCCGCCCTCTTGCTCTTGTATATAAATACCACACTAAGTATCTGAGGAGAAAATTTAAATTATCTTTCATAATTTCTACCCAGTATAAATACATAAGAAAAAATATAATCAATACAGCATGCAGTACAGTCAGCATCAGCTTAATGTGGATCTGCTTAACATACAGGTTTTCAGGAACGTATCATGTTTGTTAAGTGTACAGTGACTATACTGTATCTAACCCAGAGTGAGGTACAGTATATTTAATAGATGGAATAAGTGTTAACCTAGAACTTCTGGATTGCTTGACTCAGGCATGGATGCAAGCCAATACAGTACATACATGAAATAAAATTCATGGCATTTTCAAAACAAATTCTGCTCATATTCAAGGTTGAAATGACACATTATTTTCTAATTTATACATTTACAATACAATATACAGTATATAGCTACACACCTACAGAAATAATAATGCAGGTACAGTACAGGTATCCATCGTTTGCCTACATTTACTTAACGATGTTTTGGTTTAGTGATATAAAATTTTTAACACCTTTTCTTGTTTAACGATCGGTCAAAATTCAGTTTATCGATGTTCAATTCACTGTGAAAAACTCGGGAGGGAAGTCAGAAAAACTATGGATTCTGTGTTACAATGATATCTTGTCAAACCTAACCTAGCCTTACCTGACCGAAATATTCTGTACACTACATGCTACAATATTGCAGCATCATTGCAATACCTGTACAGAACTCTTATGTGCTGTTCAATTTTCTTATTTTATAGTTTCATATTACATAATTTCTTATTTCTAAGTCACGTTAGAGTACTGTAGTACAGCATTGTAATGATTATTCCACAGCTTTTGTAGTTTCATTACATGTAGCAATGGCAACATGCCATCTCCACGAATATTACTCCTCGTTGTTCTCGTTTAGGTAATTTTTCATCGTTATCCCTCTTTTGGTAATAAATTCACTTAATGTTAGGGTTTTCAGGAACGCATCCCATCATTAAACCTGAATAGTGATCAATGATTTTTTATAAACTTAAATGTTTTCAGTGGTAAGCTGATCCAAGGGATAACAACTTGATGTCTAGACAGACTTTGTGCTGTTTACATGGAGTCTGTGCTTGTATGGCTTTGTGTATGTCCTCTGGTTGGGTACAGAATCTCTTGGAGCAAAAAGTGATTCTGTGTACTGTACGTGGCTTCATACATAGCCAAACGTATTTACGTCTATTAGACGTGATCTGGACAGGAAGAGGATATAACAATATTGACAGATTTTAAGTTTACCAAACACATTTGTGCAGGATATTATATTCAAATCTCTTTCAGGTAAGCTTCCCAAATATGACCTGCTTTGACTATCACAGGACAGTTCTTATCTCTCAGGAGATTTATAAATGCACAAAAATTTCATCTATAAGTAATCAGTTGCATTATGGCTTCCTCGTGACTACACACTAAAGATATGCAAAAACAAGAAAGGAATAACTTTTCCTTCACCATCAGTTAAATAAGGGGTAATCATTGACAACACACCCGTTGCCAAAATTTCAAAGAAAATTAATTTAAAAATACAGCAATTTCACTGTGTTTTGTAGTGGACAGTTGTAGTTTGGGCAAATGTGTTAAAATATGGTAATTTCTAAATTAAACCTAATCTAACCTTCAACGATTAGAAACACAAGTGGCCGAAGTGTTGACAGCAGATGGCAACAACCTAACCAAAGAAACCTGCCAAACCTTAATTTCCTAGCGACAGCTCAGTTGTTGCACTGAAACAAGGAGCGGACGATAACCTCAAGTGTGGCTTGGATCACCATACCGTTTCACCACTGAGAAAGATGAAGTAGTACATGCCTAGGGGGCCTATGAAGCATTTGCCCAAAAAATAAATATCATATCCAAACTCAGTGATGAAAATATATTAAGAAAAGATCCACCAAAACAAGTTACACGGTGACAAATGTGTTGTAAATATTAGCCTGATAAGGTGAATTTTCATAGTATTGGGACTTTTTCCTCATCAGAAAAGGTTTGGTCAGTTTTTCAAATGTTGATTTGTCTTTTTTAGAATTTTATCCATGTTTTCCTTCATCTTTAAAGCCCTGACCATTTTGTGTAAATCATGGTCATATCTCCTTAACTAAGCATTAGCGACGAAAATAAAACTCATGTTATTTCAAATCATGAAAAATATATTTTAGTTATTAAATTCCTATTATAACAATAAATGAATCTTCACCCTCATTTCTCTAATTCCTATTTCCACCCAAGAAAAAAATTATTATCAATTATTCCAGCTAACAGAGTAACTCACCTCACAAAGAGCGGCATCAGTTGTGGCAGCTGGCCTAGTCTGGGGCGGATCTTCTGGTTCCTCCTCTCGGGGAACCTGTGATCAAGCGGCACCACCCAGCCATGCCGAGGGAAGCGGGAGGCATTCTCTAGCTTCTTCCCCTCGGCCACCTCGCTCTGTAGCACCTCCGCCGCCCAGCTCGCCATCACTCGCCTCTACTCACTCGTCTCTACTCGCCGCCTCTGTCACGCGACCTTCTTACCCGCACTATAAACGTCAACATCAGCACCCGCGAGCCTATTACTTTTTATCTCTATATTTCGCCCTAATCTGTCAAATTACTATCAATATTTTAAATACTCACTTATATTTAAATAATAACTACTATTATTGTTGTAATTATCATTATTAACATTAATATCGTAATTTATCATAACTATCTTCTTCCCTCTATATGCACATTCTGAGAAAATTCTGAGGGACACCATTACCCAACACCTGATCAAGCAGTTTTAATAAGACACCACAATATAGAATCATGTAAAAAAAATCCGTTTTGACTATTTTCCTTGAAAGGGTAACAGAGTACGTGGACCAAGGCTCACCTGTGCATACCTGTTGGAGACCCTGAGAGAGACGACAGGTAACAAGACAACGTGTTATGGCTGCCTGAAAAATGTTCCTAGATACCTTAGCCTAATGTGACTAACTATATAATTAGCGTTATTTATTAGAATATCCTTATCTCTTTAACTCTTGATACAATTATATAATATTTTGAGTCAAACTATAATAATATTCTATCGCATAATTTGAATTTAGAGTGATGTACTATTCAACAAGATATCTCCAATGTATGTAAATGCAACCTTTGTTTATCACATTCTTGGCAGACAACAGGAGAGGCAGCCGAGACTACAGTAACAGGAGAGGCAGCCGAGACTACAGTAACAGGAGAGGCAGCCGAGACTACAGTAACAGGAGAGGCAGCCGAGACTACAGTAACAGGAGAGGCAGCCGAGACTAGAGTAACAGGAGAGGCAGCCGAGACTACAGTAACAGGAGAGGCAGCCGAGACTAGAGTAACAGGAGAGGCAGCCGAGACTAGGAGTAACAGGAGAGGCAGCCGAGACTAGAGGAACAGGAGAGGCAGCCGAGACTAGAGCAACAGGAGAGGCAGCCGAGACTACAGTAACAGGAGAGGCAGCCGAGACCAGAGTAACAGGAGAGGCAGCCGAGACTAGAGTAACAGGAGAGGCAGCCGAGACTAGAGTAACAGGAGAGGCAGCCGAGACTAGAGTAACAGGAGAGGCAGCCGAGACTACAGGTAACAGGAGAGGCAGCCGAGACTACAGTAACAGGAGAGGCAGCCGAGACTACATAACAGGAGAGGCAGCCGAGACTACAGTAACAGGAGAGGCAGCCGAGACTACAGTAACAGGAGAGGGCAGCCGAGACTACAGTAACAGGAGAGGCAGCCGAGACTAGAGTAACAGGAGAGCAGCCGAGACTAGAGTAACAGGAGAGGCCAGGAGTAACAGGAGAGGCAGCCGAGACTACAGTAACAGGAGAGGCAGGCTACAGCCAGGAGAGGCAGCCGAGACTACAGTAACAGGGAGAGGCAGCCGACTGACTACAGTAACAGGAGAGGCAGCGAGACTAGAGTAACAGGAGAGGCAGCCAGTAACAGGAGAGGCAGCCGAGACTACAGTAACAGGAGAGGCAGCCTGAGACTAGAGTAACAGGAGAGGCAGCCGAGACTACAGTAACAGGAGAGGCAGCCGAGACTACAGTAACAGGAGAGGCAGCCCAGACTAGAGTAACAGGAGAGGCAGCCGAGACTACAGTAACAGGAGAGGCAGCCGAGACTACAGTAACAGGAGAGGCAGCCGAGACTAGAGCAACAGGAGAGGCAGCCGAGACTAGAGTAACAGGAGAGGCAGCCGAGACTAGAGCAACAGGAGAGGCAGCCGAGACTAGAGCAACAGGAGGGGCAGCCGAGACTAGAGCAACAGGAGAGGCAGCCGAGACTAGAGTAACAGGAGAGGCAGCCGAGACTACAGTAACAGGAGAGGCAGCCAAGACTAGAGCAACAGGAGAGGCAGCCGAGACTAGAGCAACAGGAGGGTAAGTAACAGATACGGTACTGTATATAGATAATTAGATAGATATTAAATAAAATCATCATCATATAACTTTACAAAATTTACGGCTGGTTCAGCATATAACCAACGCTGGTATACAGTGTACGTAGATCGTGCTGCTTTACAATGACTTACTCAACAAGTGCAGTATACACAATATATAGGGTACATGATTATTTAGTAAAATCGTCATACTGGTTCTCAGTGAATCAGCATGTACAGTGTACACTCATGCGCCATAGTTTCGATGCACCCTCTACCCCTAGTCCTGGCTCGAGGGAAGTCGTAGTCAGAGCTGCAAACTGAACGGTCCCGCTTGTATAGTGATGGTAAATAAAGTGTTGTGAAGTCACTAAAAAAAATGTATTGTGCATATATTCTCTCAAATATTACATCGTGACCTGCTATTCGTACAATCCAGCGAAGCTTTGAGCTACCACATTGCACCACTGAACGATGGGTGGGGGGAAGTGAGGGGGGGGACGTTCTGTATGAAGCCAAGGCTACGACTTCCATTAAGTCGGGAGTAGGGATCGAGGGTGGTGCATCAAAACTATGGCACGTGAGTTTACATAGACAGGATCACCTGAATAAAATCTGGTAATAGTGGTGGAGTCGGCTAACACCAGAAGCAGTTATTCGATGTTGTTCATTTTTCAACAAATGTTGTGTGTAGCATATTTATAATTGGATTTTTTTTAATAATAATTGTGGCTTTAAATAACAGATAGCCTCTTGGATAAGAAAAAAGAAACACGTACTGTATTATTCTTTGCTAGCTAGCCGTATTTATACAAAAATAGTTTTTTAATTTAGTTTTCTCCCTTTAAAATGGCAAATACAGTAATTGTAACTGACATGAACTGAAATGCAATATAAATGGCAGTAGGCCAATGTCAGTGACATGGATAGGATTTTTTTGTGGGGGGACCAGGTTAGTTTGTTCACATTCACACTTATAGTATATATGCAGTTTTGTCTTGGTGGTCATGAGCTCTTCACTCATGGACAAAGAGAACTCTAATCAGTCACCACACAGCCATCACATTGACAAGAGCAACTTTCTCCAACCAGAACCATCTCATCCTTCATTATTGCAGAACATAGGAAAAACCTAAAATTTAATTTGATAGGTATACATACATTACCGCGGAGGATATAGCTACACATATTTATGGCACCCCGTGACTCTACAATTATTCTTATATAACCTGTATGTTTAGTGCAGTCCACTTGAGTAATTCATTACCAAGCAGGTAATCCTTAAACTGGTTAATAAATTAAAAACCAAACAGCATTAGATTTTATTGTTTTTTTACTATTATGCCTGTACTGTAACAGTAAATTAGTACAGTACAAATGAATAACAAATGGAGTCTCATAGTTGTGATTATAGACATATATTAGATTATTCTTACAGTACCTGCATAATATGGTGCATGACCTATAAGACACCCTGTACACTATAGTGCATGACCAATGAGACGCCCTGTACACTATGGTGTGTGACCTATGAGACACCCTGTACACTATGGTGTGTGACCTATGAGACACCCCGTACACTATGGTGTGTGACCTATGAGACACCCCGTACACTATGGTGTGTGACCTATGAAACATCCTGTACACTATGGTGTGTGACCTATGAGACACCCTGTACAATGTTTAGGGACTTGGTTGAATGTCTTGTGCACCAAAGTGTATCAACAGTGACCTCTCTCATTATGAACAAGTTTTGTCAAGATACTCTCATGATTCTTCAGAAGGGAGAGACAGTGCTCAGTCCTCTTCACCACTGGTTGGCACCGGTTGGGCAGTCAGTTATATCTCTGTTATACACTGTTGGCAAGTACTGGGCATACACTGACTCTAGAATGTACCTGGGTATATATGACACGGGTGCCGAATAATTTTTTAGTGGGTGTACATGTGACCACTTTACAGGTACAGTATCAGGAACAGTATTGGGGCAGTTTCACATGACAGGTAGGATCACCACACACTCAGTTAATCACCCCTATTCTAATGTACTTGTGCAGCTTTAGTATCAGTTTTTGAGAAGTTGAGAAAATTTGCAGGTAACTATAAATGTGAACAATAGCATCATTTACAGGGTGCAGGCAAAGTATTAATAGTATGTATATACCCTATGCAATATTTAATTCAGAAATATCTTTCAGAGCCATGGCAAGCAACAGCTATACGAAGGTCCTTGTCTACCTACGCAAGACATCACAGGCAGGATATCAATTAGCCAAATTTAATGAATGTGTTTTGGATCACTTAGGACAACCTGGTGAAGCTTTAGTTCACTGCCACTTGGAGAACAACCAGTTACTTCTTGAGTCTCCAGATCAAGATCAGGAAAATAGTGCCAATCTTCCCAGGACTGCTGAAATGCCTCCACTCTACAAAATCATGGTACAAAACTGTACATTAATAAGTATTATTATACAACAAACACTGTAAACTGCTTGAGAATGGTACTGTATGTTAAAAAAATGTACACAGATTTTCATAGAGATTGCATTATTCGCTTGTATTACAAGAGCACATTGTCCTCACTTAAAGGAAACTTCACACATCAATAAGTGAGGACAATATAGCTGCTGTGATACAAGCACTCACACGACCTGCAAGAAAATCAGTAAGACAGTGTGTAAACATCTTTCTGAGACACTGTAGTAGTCTTTAATACTTCTAATGCTATTGTATTGTGCAGCATCCACCCTTCTGTCCTGTACAACACCTGGATGAAGAAGGGTGTGCAGCACTACCACCAGAGATCATCACCAGAGGGATAGCTGTTGGTGTAGCCATCTTGCTGGAGTCTAGTGACAAACATCTATTACTGACAAGACGAGCAGCGCACATGCGCACATTTGCTCACGTTTGGGTTCCTCCTGGTGGTCATGTGGGTAAGTTTTTTAAATATATGCCTTTTAGCCCTGAAACTGCAGCCATCATCAGTGGACGTTAGCTGTTGGGACAGTGGCCATCATCAATGGAAGTTAGCTATTTGGGACGATGGCCATCATCTGTGGAAGTTAGCTATTTGGAATGATGGCCTTCATCGGTGGAAGTCAGCTGTTGGGACGATGGCCATCATTAGTGGGTATTTCATATACCCTGCATTCCCATTTTGCCCATATGGAGTGGAGTAGGGAATCCTTAGCTGCCAATTTAGGGTTCATGAAAATAGTTGAACCACCTGTTCATGAAAATGAATGAAAGTTAATGAAAATACTGTACATTAACTTCCTTAAGTTTAAATATCAAAACTTGGAAAATCCTCATTTTTTTTAGAAAAGAAATTATGTAATTTAATCTGATTATTTTTCCTTATGCCTATTATTTTTTCATAAGTTTTCAGTACCTTATCCCGCTATTTATATACAGCATTCATTAATTTATTTGTTAATGTAAAGTTGGTAAGTTTTCCTGTTATACTGTACAATACAGTACAGTACTGTACAGGGTATTTATATATAATGTACACATCACCTCTGTTGGTTTATTCCAAAATTCGGGAAAATTCAAAATTCAGAGAGAGCTGAATTTTAGAGGTTCCTCCCTTTGCTTTTTTTTTTAGTCTAGTCTTTTTACAGTATTTGTTTGTTTATTTAATCATTCACCACTTTTATCAGCCATTCAGGTAATTGATCTGTTTGTTACTTGTCATGAATTGTCCAACTTTAGTACAGGAGACAACCAGAGTACCTGCCATGTTTGGAAGTGTTACTCTGGATAATCCCCTTCTCACATATGACCCAGGCTGGGGATTAAAGCCAGACACAGTGGTGAGGGTACACTCATTACCACTGTACCACCAACACTATCTGATCCTCTTATAGCTTAAAAGTCATCATAGGTGTGTGACTGATATAGTTTACTCTTCAAATATTATCTAATTTTCCTCGTGTCAACTGCTAAAGTTCATCACACTAAATTATACTCTGTTGTAGAGGGCAAAAAAGTTTGTAATCTTTACTACGTTTTGATGTAGAAGATAAATAAAACTTTTAATCATTAGTAAATCACGTTAATCACGTTGCAGAGAACAAAGAGAGCTTGGAAGACGCAGCATTGAGGGAACTTGAAGAGGAAACCGGTCTAGTGGTCACAGCAGCAGAACGTCAGAGCACCAACACTCTGGGACTGTGGGAGTCTGTGTTTCCTCCACTCCTACAAATGGGTCAACCCAAAAGACACCATATTGTTGTATACTTGCATGTAATTCTTCATAGATCTTCAGAACAGTTAAAAAGTCAATTTAAGGTGAGTTGTATTTCTCACTTGGCCTCCTACATACAGTAACATGATATGCCATTGTAATTTAGAAATAAAACAAAATTAAGGAAAACTGTCTTTTGCCAAATTTCATTTGGTAGCTGAATATAAACCATGTTCTTCTTAATAACCTTCTCAAGAGACTTTAGTAATTTAGGAAGTGAGAAAGTAAAGCCCAGAGCAATTTTTTTTTCTTTTTTAGATTTACTGCTCCCTTTACATACTAGGTAGATTAGGGCATATAAATGAACTGAAGGTATGATTCTCACATTCAGAAAACATCTCCAGATGTGGTGGAGAGGAACTTAATTTAAGGCAAAAGAAGAAATAGAATGACAGAATACAATATAAGGGTAAAAAATCAATCCTCAGATAAATAAAATACTGTAAATTTAAAGTTATACCCCATTCATATTGGCGGGCGTTAGTAAGTCGGGGACTCCCTGTACATATACTCTCCAATGTGTACTTGAAGTCTGGGTTGATTTGACCCAATTCATCCTTAAGGAGTCAATTTCTGTTGTCTGTTTCTGCCTCATCATATATAAGAGAAAAATATTTAGAACTCTTGGTAATATTATTGAAAACCTTGTCCTTTTTTCTCACATTTATCATATCCATGTCCACTTTGGATTTGATGTCTTGTTTCTTCAGTGGCTACTAAGTGGTCCTTGTGACTGATTTCTCCTCTCCATCCAGTTTGGTAACCCTACTCTGTCACCCCCACGGTAGAATTGGAGTGTAGGTCCATCTTCTTGCTCCTTGTTTATTCTCTCACTTGTAGTGGGAATTTTAGTTTTTGGTCTGGTGTGTCTCAGAATCCAAGGGTCCTTCCTTGTTTACGGAGCTGTAGGCTTTTAAACATGTATACTGTACACATGCTCCTTGTTGGCTGCAGTTAGGGTTTAGGCTTTAACTGTTAAACCTCAGCCTTGAGGTACGACACTTTACTTGGTGGGCAGCTTAACTGCCTGGGCTTTGAAAAGAACTGGATCATTTTTGTCAGTTTTGTTTTATACCATCAGCTTTGATCACTGAAGGAATCGATTTGGGGATTTTGTTTTAGGGGCAGCCCATTAAGGAGTGTAGTAAGTAAAATAGATAGTTTTGGTCACACTACTGTATAGTAAACTTCAGTATTGGCTCGGGACAACTTGGTAGGCTATTAGCTTATAGCTGGGGTTTTATGTGAATTGGATTTTGATCAACTTTGCCCAGATTAAGGAGTGATTGTTACTGGGAAGTTAACCCTTTTACAGTTCACTTCCAATTCCTGTAGCAGGACTGTTGTGAAACCTAAGTCGCAGGGGCTTTCAATTATTGTTTAAGGAAAATGTGGACATAAACATGAACAACAAATTATGAAAGGAAATAGTTAATTATTTTTATTAAGATGATTTAAAATTTTGGAACAGTTATGCCCAGAGGAGGTTGATGCAGCTGTATGGCTTTCTGTAGATCTCATCAAATTTGCAGTGTGGAAGACAGATGAGTTTTCAGAGCAAGAACAAGAAAACACGTCATCTGATGAAAAAATTCATGTTACCCTCGTCAATCAGGAAGGAGGTAAGTGAAGGAAAGATTTTCTTCTTAATAGTATAGGGAGAGTTTCTATAACATTGGCTATATACTTGAGGATTTATCTATAAAAAATGAGGAAGAATATCATAAAGGACAACTCTTGACTAAAATAACTCCTCAATTACACTCTTAGGTTTCAAGCTTGATATTAATAATGTACAATTGACCTAGGAAGTGATGTCACTGTTTTCAGTACAGTAAACCCTCGATAACTTGTCACAAATGGGGCTCTGGCCTCGCCGAGTTATCCCAACTTCCAACTTATCAAGGCACTTCCCCCCTCTTACAAAAATACAATAAAAAATTATCAACCCATATGTGTGTACATGTATTTACGAAATGTAAAAAAGTACCACTTACCAGCACTGCAGGTGAAGAATGAAGCATCATAATAGGTGACACAGATGCATGGGAGGTGATACAGAGGCAAGGTAGGTGACACACAGGTATGGTAGGTGGCACAGAGGCACGGTAAGTGATGCAGGTGGTCAGATATGCTAATATTTTCCCAGATAATTTCATATATCTCAGCATTTCCCGAGTTACACTAAGACATTCCAAGACCATATCCATGCCGAGTTATATGAAATTCCAAGTTATCAAATGCCGAGTTATCGAGGGTTTACTGTACGATTCATTCAAACGGTGGTATATGGCAACTTGGTGGGAGCTGAGCAAGTGATACCACTCACCAGTGGGCCAGACACTGATGGAAAGAAGACAGTCAGTTCGATAACACTTGTTTCTTTGTGTAGAATATTCTACACATGGCTCATATCCTTGTTTAAAAGTTGTTTTACTTTTAGAAGAATATGAAATGCATTTGTTGCACTAAAATAATGATGACTGTAATTGAATAAACGTTCATAGAACTTCGTTGTTTACCCCAGTTTCATCTTTTCCGAAGTAACAAATGACTGTTAAACAGAAATACTGTACTTAATGTTTTGTTTTTTTATTATTATTCTTTGGTTCTAAAAATACAATACCTTCTGAGTGTAAATGGCAATTAATTTTTTTGTAAATACTTTGGAAAAACTGCAACAACAGATATTCATTTAAGATTATAGCCTATATACAGTAAAGCTCAAAGTTTTATTTTATGAATGTTTTCTGCCTTTCTTCATTATCCATCGAGGTGGTGAATATGGAAAATAACTCTTTACATATCCAGTAAAGACATGGCATAAATTTGGCAAGTATGAATATTATTTAAATTCATATTTTCATTTGATGCTCATTTCAGCTAAACAAAATTACAGGGGGCCCCAGATTCGTGGGGCTTTGGTTCTCAAAATGGCCGAGAATCGTCAAATCCACAAATAACATTTGCGGACCGGGGGAGGGGTTACATTTTTACTTGTGTACAAAGAAAAGTATATTCCCTTTATGTGTTTGCCCTTAGGACAAGTATTTCTTTTACCTGTATTGTATACTGTATATGTATGTGTGTGTGTGTTTGTGTGTTTGTCTACACACACAAAACACATGCAAATAAATAATAATGGGAAAATCCTCTCACAAATACAGTAATCAGAAACAAATTTATTAAAAATGTGACAGTCTACCCTCAAGTCCGTGATTTATTAAAAAAGTAGTAAAGCACAGACTTGAGGGTAGACTGTCACATTTTTAATAAATTTGTTTCTGATTATTTGTGAGAGGATTTTCCCATTACAGTGTATTATATATTTGTACAGTATGTGTTTTGTGTGTGTGTGTGTCTACACACACACAGACACACACACATATTTACAATACAACACAGGTAAAGGAAATTACTGTCTCTATAATGAATGGCTCCCTTTCCCAGCTGCAAAAATGCCAGCAGCCTTAAAACTACCCACAGACACTCTTGGGTACATTCAGGGTGTCATTCGCGAATAATAGAGGGATGCGAAATAAAAATCCTCGAACTTGGGGGGCCCCCTATGTATATATATATACTTAATCATTTTAATATCTGATTCTCACTTTGTAAATTATTCCTACATGTTCCCAAGTGTTAATCTGGTATTCTTGGCTGATTGTTTGCTAGTACAGTACTGTACAACACAGGTTGTATTAAAAAACAAGTTAGCAAGAAAACAAGCTTGTACAATGGCAGCAGACAATGAACTAAGAGTGTCACGATGTCAGAGATTTAGAAGATAAGCTGCAAGATACATCAGCCAATCAGGCTTCCCATGCAGTCACATGACAGTAGTGGCCATCGTAGCTCATGAGTACTCTAAGCCTACCACCCACACGCCCGGCACGCATCCCCACTTCAGAAACATGATGCAATCTTTCAGAAATTCATTTGAATGTCCAAAACAGGGACATTTTCTTTGAATTTTCTGGAAATGTACATGATGTAAGCCTCATAAATTCATTTGAATTCCCAGAATGGAAAGATTTTTCCCAGAATTTATCAAAAGGAAAAAAAAATACGACGACTGTTGGAGATTACTGTACTGTACAGTACATATTGCACACTGTTGTGTATGACCTATGAGACAACCTGTACTATGGGTGGTTCATGTAGTATGGCATATGTATCATTTGTGACTAACACACACACACACACACACACACACACACACACATATGTATGACTACAATCATATAGTAACAAGGAGGTTGAAACCCTTTCCATTTTACTGATGATATTAATAAATGACTACTACTCAGAATCTCAAAATATTTGTCATTTTAGTTTTATTTTTTCAAAATTTACCATTAATTTTTTCCCCCCAGAACATGTTGCAGGAAGTATGAAAGCATCATTCCTGAAACAGGCAGACCAAGTCACTGAGCTGACCCTGGGAAGAGTTAGCACAGGAAGCAGGTTGGTAGTCATGTCTTTATATTAACTCTTAATCATTGGTTGAGGATTCCCTACTCCCCCCTCCTTGTGCACAAAAATGGAACGGAAATGAACATAAAACTTCTGCAGACGATGGCTGCCATTAAGGGTTAAAAGTAATTGATTGCTTCATTGCTTCATAGCTTAGGATTACCACATTGTTTTGAAAGATATTTGCAGGGCCGGATGTGGGGATTGGGTGCTCGGGGCTCTGATTTAGAGCTTACCTGTATAATAGTGTATAATTACTCTTGTATTGTTCACTTAGTATTACATCAGAAATTCAGATTAATAAATCAGAACTTCAGGTAAATAGCAGGAGTGCTGACACCTGGCTGCAGCCTGCGAGAGAGAATGGTATGCACACATACGAACACACAATTTACATGGGGCTGCCCAGCCAGCAGATGCTGTTACACAGAAATCAGCTGACTGGCATAGTTTCATGGTTTTTACCATAATTTAGGTATTTTATTGACTCCATAATGTCAAGCTACACAATGTTAATGTATGATGTCTAACTTAATGAACTAACCAACTGCAGGTACTAGAATTTACAAAGTATTGATGAGGTAAAGGCTGATGATTTATTTTCTACAGTACAATACTAGTCTATCCAGGCACAGATTATGTTCATACTTTGTCTTTGGCCTTAGTTCTGTTGCTTAGCCCACCAATGATATTTACTACAGGATGTCAACACAAGTGGGGAAGGGCCATAATTGGGTCATCGCCTGGGCCCCAAGTTATTCTTAATCTGTCCCTGGATATGTGTTCAGTTTCAGGTACCAGACTGGTTAGGGTGGTCATATTGTGCCATGGTATAGAGTAAAGTATCTGTCACCTGAAAAGTTTGGAACCAATAGTTTTTTGTAAAATGAATAATGACAAGGTGGATACTATCAAGAATTTGTGTCCAAGGAAAGCATGTACACTACTTGTATACTGTTTTGGGCTATTCTGATTATTACATAAATATTTTTTGTACAAAATACTTAATAGTATTTTTCTTTTTCACAGGTTTGCACTGTCACTTTGGTTAGAACAGCATTTACAAAAATCAGATTTTCCAGGAAGTTCACAAAGAGCATTATATGGTAGATACATGAGTCAGTCAGATGCTGAAAATCACTGTTACTCTGCCTCACCCAAGATAAAACCAAAAATTTAAATCATACAATGCTACTCTACATATTGTGAAATTAAGAACAATATTTTTGTACAACTTTTAAAAGTAGAATTTGAATACAAATTAAATTATTTAAGTTTTTGAAAAGTAATATATTTTAAGATGTTGCCATGTGCACTGCAATACAGTAATGTCACATTTAGCACATTACTGTGTGTATGAAAGTATCTAAGTAGAGATGTTATTATAGATATATATATACTGTATATATATATTTTTTTTTATGGGCATTAGCCCACCCAGGCACAGGTCATTTTGTAATGACCCACATCAAGGCCTGGGGAGCAAAAATAATAATGAGAAGAAGAAGAATAATACCGCTAATAAAATTACTAATTATCTATAAAAATAAATAGCAATTATAATAAAGAAAATATTAACACAAGTAATACTTATAAAAATTATAAATAATACTAATACTGTACAGTGATATAAGCCAGAACAATTGGTGCAGAGCACTTCCAGGAATGATAGATTTCTGGGTAACAAGACGACTGTCTCAAAGCCGGGAAAAAATTCCTCATCCCTGGAATTTTGCAGAATTTTCCAGGTAGTATTGGGAAATTTTTCTCGGAATTTTCCGGAAAATGTGCCCCTCGGAAAATCGTTCCCATAGCCGGCATTTTCCGTAAAATTATGGCTTTGTAAACGATTTTCCGAGAAAATTTCAATTCCGGCTATCAGAGAGTTCCTGGTTTGAGGGGTTCCGGCTAACGGAGATATTCCTATAATAATAATACTAGAGCCATAAATACACGCAAGATTAAAACTTCAAGAGTGTGAAATGATATACCGTATTTGCCGGTGTATAAGACGCGGTTTTAAAAATAAAAAATAAAAAGCTTACCCTGCGTCTAATGCGCCCATATTACGGATGGGAGGCTGAGAGGCGGAGGTGCCTAGCTAGGGAGTCTGGGACGAGCAGCAGTCCACTAAGCACAAAAATTGTGTTACTAATCATATTACAGTATACTAATAATAAAATACTGTACTGAAAAACAAGCCAAATTATCACAACCTATTATTACAAACGTACAGCAAACTTGCTAAACACATACCTGGTAATAATGGCTTACTGTACATTGGCTTAACAGCAGAGGGAAGTTCACAACATCTCACTGTACCTCCTTCCCCAGCATACGTAACCCACACCAGAGACATCTCTTACATTATTTAATGATTGTGTTACCTTTAAGAAACATTTGTTTATTATGTGAATGAATAATGACCCTAGAAAAATTAAAGAAATGTTAACAAAAAATTCAGCTGCCAGTCAGCCATTTGCAATGAGTCGATGACGCCAAAACAATTGCGATGGTGCTACACCCTGGTGGCAGATCGCGCCAACACAAAACATCATAGCCAAAATACGACTTTCACATCCTGTCAGTATATATTGTATTTACATGCACAAAATCATATGTTTTCCCTTACGAAACCACTTTAAAATCACTTTCAATATCTGTATGATGAAACATACTCATATTGTTTTTTCTACAAAATATCCTTGTAAAATACGGGTGCGTCTTATGCGGTGGTGTGTCTTATACGCTGGCAAAAACGGCATGTATGTTGTGTTGGCAGAGTAAGAGAAACACTTGAAACCCTACAGTTGTGTGTAAATGAGGCAGAAAGTCAGATCAGTAACCTGGGACTTGGTCACAATTTTTTTGATGTCATATGGCAGCAGGGTCTACCATTAGACAACACATTATGCTTCCAATATCTTCCCAGGCGGTAGTATCTCCCTGTTTGGTAGCTGCCTACTACCTAGTAGGTAAGTTAGTATTATTTATACTTTGAATCAGGCTGTGCAGATTATGTACAACATTTACTTCTCCTGGGCAAATGACCTTCAAAATTAAATTGCCCAGATATTTTTGTTTTACTTGCCCTTACAGTTATTTTGAGGAAATTTGCTTGCTTGGACATTTGTATGGGAAAATTTAAAATAAAACATTAAAATTTATTGTGTGTATCAACTCACAGATCACTTGTCCATAAGAAACCTTTCACCCTCACCCTTCTCCTTCCATTGGACAACTGTAGCTATTGTCTGGCGTCATCAGTGGTAACCCCCTTGTCATGTGATGTTATAACTTCTGTCACCTCAAGTCACACCTGCAAAGTATGTGAGGAGGCAGAGGCAGCACCTGTGATCATCTACCAATACAACTTGACACTGATTGACTAGAAGCAGGTTGATAGCTTAGTAAACGATGAGCAGAACAGGGGGATGTATTCAAGATCCAGGAACCAAGCAAAGTCAGAGTGTAGAAGGGCTGAAAAGGAGTTCCAAAGGCTGGTTGCAAATAAGGTCAAGTCAAACCCAAAGGCGTTTTACCTCTACGCAAAGTCGAAATTAAAAACACTAGTCGGAGTATCGGACCTGAGGTTTGAAGTAAGTCCTTGTTTAACGTTGTTTCATTATAACGTCGCTACTCTTTAGATACCCATGATTCCGACAACGTCCCAACTGATTCGTAACGACGTTGTCACCCAACACAGACTTCTTTGTTTGGTGCATGACCCTGTTTCATCTTGGTGCACTACACTCTGTCGCGAAGCATCACAGCCTCCCCAGTCTTTGCTATACTTCCACAGCGTATGTGTGTGCTTATGTTTTTTTGCTATAAATACTGATCTGTAACCATTCGAAATGGCTTCCAAGCACCCATCAAGTGTTAGTGATGCTAGTGTTGTGAAGAAGCAACGCAAGACCATTAGCCTTGCTACGAAAATAGAGGTTTTAAACCGTTTTGAGAAAGGTGAATGTGCTGTGGACATTGGTGTAGCGCTAGGCCTAACCCCCACAACAGTGCGTACTATCCAGACCAGCACAGACAAGATAAGGCTAGTGCTGGAAGTGGTATACTTCTATGAGTGTAACAAAGACAAGTCATGCTCGAAGTTCCATGATTGAGAAGATGCTGGCTATGTGGATAGAGGACCAGAATCAATGCAATGCCCCTCTGAGCCTTATGGTTATCCAACATAAAGCAAAATCCTTGTATGACGACTTAAAGGCCATAGAGGGTGATGGATCGAAGGATGAGAACTTTACGGTCAGCCAAGAATGGTTTCAAAGTTTTAAGCATCGTTATAACTTCCACAATATTAAGATGACTGGTAAAGCTGCTAGTTCAGATACAGTTGCTGCCGACACATTCCCGCCGGGGCTACAACATTCTTCATGCATTCGGCAACATTGGCAAGGCATGGGAAGAAGTTTCAGAAAGTTGCCTGAATGGTGTGTGGCGTAAATTATGGCCCGAGTGCGTGAATAGCTTTATGGGATTCACAGACTTAGTCCCAACTCTGAATAGGTATATCGTCAGCTTGGCTAAACAGGAAGGCTTTTATGAGTTGGAATCTGAGGATATTGAGCAAGTCCTAGCATCCCACACAGAAGAGCTAACAAATGAAGATCCGCAACCGCAAACAGAACGAAGTGTCGCTGAAGAAGCTGACAACGAAGAACCACAACGAATGCTAATTACCAAGAGGATGGCACAAGCGTTCGACATGATCCAGCAAGCAATGCAAACCTTTACTGATGACGACCCAAACAGAGAACGTAGCTCAAAGAATGTCTGCAACATGGAGGAAACTCTTCGGTGTTATAATGAGATCTACAAGGAAAAAAAGAAGAGGAGCACTAAGCAGTCAACGCTGGATTATTGTTTTTGCCGTCGGGAGGCAGAAGCAACATCTTTACAACAGCCTGCAAGGGAGGAGGAATGAACAGCAGCTGAAGGGGAACCCAGTCAGAGCAGGAAGGGAGCCCCCTCTCCGGGTCTCAGTGACTTGCCACCCTCCTCTCCACTACCCACCACACACTCGTTCAACCTCTGCCCATCAGTGAGTACAATTCAAAATTATTTATTTTACTTATCTTTTTGGGTGTCCAGGGGGCCCCCAATTTCGTGGGGGTTGGGTTCTCAAAATGGCCACGAATTGCCAAATCCACGAATAACATTTGCGGACCGGGGGAGGGGGGGATTACATTTTTACTTGTTTACAAAGAAATGTATATTCCCTTTATGTATTTGCCCTTAGGACAATTATTTTTTTTACCTGTAGCATTGTATGTGTGTGTGTGTGTGTGTAGACTTACACACACACACACTCACACACAAAACACATACAAATAAATAATAATTGGAAAATCCTCTCACAAATAATCAGAAACAAATTGATTAAAAATGTGACAGTCTACCCTCAAATCCGTGCTCTGTTAATAAAATACTGTAATAGAGCACGAACTTGAGGTAGACTCACATTTTTAATAAATTTGTTTTTGATTATTTGTGAGAGGATTTTCCAATTATTATTTATTTGTATGTGTTTTGTGTGTGTGTGTTTACACACACACACACACACATATTTACAATACAGATAAAGGAAACTACTGTCTCTAGAACGAATGACTCCCTGTCCCAGCGGGAAAAATGCCAGCAACTTTAAAACTACCCACAGACATTCTTGGGTACATCCAGGGTGTCATTCACGAATAACCGAGAACCGCGAAGTAAAAATCTGCGAACTTGGGGGGCATACTGTATACAGTAATATATATTTTCTATAAAAATTCCATTGAATTTATGTAAATGTAATGTATTTTATGGGGCAAACGGAGGCTGGGGAACGTAATTAGCGTATTTTATCTATTTCTTACGGGGAAAATTTATTCCATTAACGTTGTGTTTCAAGAACGTAACAACGATGTTAAGTAAGGACTTACTGTAGTTACTCATATTCTGACCAGGACAAAGCGGAGGCATTGAATAGTTTCTTTTCCTCGGTGTTCACAAGAGAGGATACGAACAATCTTCCTGTGTTTGAGGACAGACGGTTCGACACAGCGCTGACCCACATTGTGTTCACAGAAGGGGTTATAAGAAATAATGTGTAAAAGCTAAAGGTTCATAAGAGTCCTGGCCCTGACATGGTCATCCCAGGGTGCTAAGAGAATTGTGCAACAAGCTTGCTGAGTCCCTGAAGATGCTGGTCTGTAAATGCCTGGATGAGCAAAAGGTCCCCAGTAAAAGGTAAATGGCTTATGTGAGTCCTAGCTTCAAGAAGGGCGATAGTCACTCCACGAATAACTATAGACCAGTGAGCCTGACCAGCATAGTATGTAAAGTACTTGAGAGCATTATAAGAGATGCCATGATGGAACATCTACTACGAAACAACCTTGAAAAGGATTGTCAATGCGGTTTTTTACCAGGACACTCCTGCTCAATGCAATTACTCAAGGTACTGGATGTTTGGGCCCAAATTCTGGAACAGG